ACCAAAGCAAGGTGGTAGTGGCTAAAAGGAAGCGTAGTAGCTATGGGGATGATGGAATTAGTTACACGCCCCAAGAAAAGTGACGAGCAATTTCTGTGAACCACTTTCATTGAAAATGAGTGCACGAGTCCATGGTTAGGTTTGCCCCATCAACAGACCAATCCCAAAACGACTTTATGTGTTCCAGTATAATTTAGACGTTGAACTTTATTTTTCACTGATTTATTGAACTCACTAACCTGAGATTTTCAGCTGATATCACACTCACGGAGACACCTCAGTCACATGGATATGTACATAGAAACATTATTTATAGCTTAATTTAACTAGGATATTTTTTTTTTTTTTAAATTTTTTTTCCAATTGATAGCCAAGTCTTTTGACTTTCTCCCACACTACTCTTCCAGACTTGAGACTTACATGATGTCTAAGTCTCCCGAATTTACGTTTACCACCGCAGACTTTTTTACGACTCTGCTCAGTCGTGGTCAAAATTTTTGTCAATTATTGATTGAGTCCCCAATAGTATACAGGCAAAATTTTTGTTTGTAATTCTACTTTAAAAATGGCTGTTAAAGATACCTAATTTAATCTTTAGGAGCGTTATTACATTGTGATGGTCCTAATTAGACCCTATTAATTTTGGGGAATTGACTCTGTTTATAAATGGTTTCACAACGGTTTTTTTTCTGGTCCTTTTAACCACTTATAGTGAGGACCCCTGTAAAGGATATGTAAATATTTGAGATGATGAATAATTAAATAAATGTCCAGTACTATATATGTAAAAAAATTTGTAGAAGGAAATTAGATGTACAAAATAAAATAATTTTGACAAATAAAGATGATGGAACAATGCTGATATAGACTGACTTTCACATCTAATCTATAGATGGTACAGAACTGTATTAAATGTACTGCCTTTTTTGAATATTTTCAAGGTTCAGTATTCAGTGTTATAATAACTATTTGAAATGTGTCCAGAGCTCTGAATGTCAACAAAGTGGTGGGGAGGTGATTGGTTTGCTGTCTTGGTTAACAGCAGGAACTACAGCCTCCTCACCTTGCTGGTACGCCTTCTGCCCCACAGTTCCTGTGGGTTCAGTGGCTGTCCTCATGCTAGAGACACAGCAGGAGTTATCTCAGGGCTCTGGAAGAACCTCTAATAGAATTATTTGGTTGCCAAACTACACTTGAAGAAGCTCTAAGGTAAGATGTCTGGTATTTTGGTTGCAGTTGAATTGCCGAAAATGTGAAGTACAGTGCTCAAATAAATTATCAGTAGATTATATTTTTAACAGATTAAAATTATTATAGGCTAACTATCAATGTACTTATCACTGTAATTCTATCTTACCATCTTTTCCCAATTCAGAAACCAAATACACACACACTGTAGGAGATATGGTAGTAAATTTACTTTATATCTTTGAATTGTTTGAGATATCTACAGTGGAAACTATTTTCATTTATTATCTAGATGTATCCAGCATCTGTTGTTCAAATTTATGGATAATGGTAGGTGTTCTATTCAGAATTTCTTTCAGAGACTGGTCATTGAAGATTATCTTGCTGGACTGGAGGGTTACAGACCAAAGTGTTTCAGTAATACAATACAAGTTTTCAGAAGGTTTTAGATGAACCTGTACTGTAATACAATCTTATTAATCTTTTACTTTCCTTCCCATTATTGTGTTATAATTTTTCCTACATTTCAGTATTGCCTCTTGCTTTTCTTCCTTCACTTTTTCTGAGTTAATTGTTCTTTTTCATATTTCATTCTACTCATCTTGTTTTATTTATTTTTATTTTTTTAATAAAAGCAGTGTAGTATGTGATTACACCACTTTAATAAAACTGGCTACTTTTAAGTCAATTCTTTTTAATACTGTACAGTATAGTCTACCTTGTCAGATGTGGGAGTTACATTCTTGGAAAATGGCATTTGACAAATTTATTATCTTATGGGAATACTGAATAGAATTAAAGAGAAAATGTTTTGGACACTATATACAGTGGTTCTCGGTTAACAAACACAACTTGTTCCACAGAGTCGCTCGTAACCGATAATTGCTAACCAAATCTATTATTTCAAAGTACTGTTTACTGGTAATAGAATTAACAAAATATTAAATATAAACGAAATACAGTACTGTACTATACAGTATACAGGCTTCTCGTTAACGTAAACTCAATCCGCTCCAGAAGGTCGTTCAATCAAACGCTTGTAACTCAAACCATTGTTTCAATGGGTTTTTGGGTAATTGGTTCCAGCTCACCGAAATTTCCTAAATTCAACAAAATGGTAGAAAAGTTCACTTACTTTGGAGGTGTGTATGTAGAAGGCTCCTGGATGATGATGATGATGATGGATTTAGAATAGGAGAAGGAAGAAGAGAAGGCATTGGGGTGTGGGAAAGAGAAGTCACCCCATGGTGCCATTTCACCCATAAAATTTTAGCTCTGGTTTAATTCAAGATTATTTTCTTTTAAATCAATGCTGCACTGCATTATATATTGTCAATATATAAAATATATTTCAAATGACCAATAATTGCTTGGAAACACAAAAAAAAGCATTTAGTTGAAGAGAGTCTCACAAGATGTTACCCAGTGAAAACAGAGAGAGACTGACGCCTGTTTGCTGTGTTAAGAGGCTGGATGCCGCGGATTAAACTAGTCACTTTAACTTTCAATTTCGTTCAATAATTGTTAAAATGACTAAAAAATTGAATATTAAACTTTTAAAATTATTGAATAGTATAAACTTCTTGATATTTACAAAAATAGTAAGGAATTTAAGCCCAGGAACCGGATATTGTATTGGCGGACTGATACTAAAGCTGGTTGCCCGTCAGTGCAAACATGTTGAGGTCGGTTCGTAAGAAGTTCGTTAGTTTAATTTTTTCGTTAACCGAATTGAAGATCCTTTGGAAGGCAGTTCGAGATCGAAATTAGCTAACCGAGGTGTTCGTTAAACGAGGGTCACTGTACTGCACTAATAATAAATAAAAAGCCGTTTTTTTCTAAAACCAGTTTTTGTGATATAGCTCTAATGCGACTTCAGCAAATGCAACCTAGGTATGTTAATTCCTAGCTAATTCGGCCAGGCCAACATACAGTACTGTACAGGCAATTAAAACATCTAATAATTACTTAATAAGTAATATGAGGAGGACACGCCGCTACCTGGCATTTAATTGCTATTTTCAAAGTCCTTCATCTCGCCCTTATGTGCAATAGAATACTGTATTTTAACTTACTTTGAGTGGTATGTCATTACCAGCAGCTTTGTATACAGTATAGTCTCGATTTACGGATTTCCTATACAGGGTTGTCACGACGCACCTGGCCAGACCGCAATTATTAGTTATGCGGTACATTCCATCATTTACGCGAAGCGGGGCAGGGTGCGACTAGGTCGCCTAATCAACAAAACATACCGAAGTTCACCCGCCACCACCACAGCCAGACCAGGTTCAGTGATAGTGAGGATATGGACTTTGAGGGTTTGACAAAGAGGCCCTGCAAGCCTCTGTGGTGATAGTGATACAAGTGATACAGGTGAGGACCAATAATCTGTCCTCTGCCTCGGAACCAACCCCCATCCCCGTGTGCCCAGCCATCTCTTTACTAACGTAAGTGTTAAAACCTAATATTATTGATATTTCTCTTAAATATTAATTGTGTGTGCATACCATCATAAAATTAAGATGTTATTTTTACTTTAACGTACGACAGTCGGAAAAGGCGAGTCTGGGGTTGGGCCCAGTTTCTATTTCAATTAATCCCATATGTTCTGTTATTTCGTTTTCGCTTTCTCGTTTTTACATGACCCTCACGGTTTAATTGACCGCGAGAACCGAGACTATACTGTACATATCAAACAGCTGAATGTAGAGGCAGTTGATGATGACGTGCCATATTCCTTACAGAGTGCATTGGTTCTAATGCGCTCTTCATGTTTCATTATAATTTTTGCTCCGGATATTATCAATATGTTAACTAAATTTCAAAATGACCAATAACCTTAATGTAAAAATGCAAAAAATATTCAAGAGACCAACAAAATCGATGTTCACTCCACTGTAAACAAAGTTAAACTGAGAAGTGTTATTGGGTGATTCAATCAGCTATACAACATGGCGGGAGAGGGCGGGAGGTTTGGATCCAAAAATGGTATGGCTCGCCAGCCGCTCTCCGCGTAAAGGGGTACACGCACCGCGGAATGTGAGCATTCCTGTTTCGGCAGGGTACCGCGTAAACGTGGAAACGCGGAATGTGGGACCGCGTAAAGCGAGGGTTGACTGTATTTACATTTTTACTAATAAATAATGCCTCAGACTAAAGTTAGGATAATATAATTGACATTGCTGGATTCCTTGCAAGACCAGGAATATTTTGAATATACACGTTATATATTTTGCACAAAAGATAACATATTTGCTCTGAGTAAACAAAATACTTGCATTAGATCTAAAATTTGTATGTCTAATGCAAAATCTATGATGTTTATATTCAAAATGATCATCAAATTGTAAGAATTCCAGCAATGTAAATTATATTCTGGCCGGGTAATTTGTATGAATTTTATGAGCTAAATAAAAAAAATTATACTTCACCCGCGTATATGAGTAGATGCACCGCATAAAGTGGGAATTTGGTTCTGGCAGGGTACCGCGTAAATGTAGAAACGCGTAAAAAAATCCTGCGTAAAGCGGGGTATTACTGTATACTATTATTGCATGAGATAGGGTAGCACTGACTTAGCAAGGTACAGAACTGCCTGATACAGATGCTTGGTGACAAATGAATTGTGCTCAATACCACTTGCAGTCAGGGCACTGCCTTATAAACTTATATATATTGTGGGGATGTTTAGGAACTGATATGTGTGTGTGAATGAGTCTGCATACCCAACTAAGCTTTACATGTATTGTATATACAGTACTGTAGATAGAAAGGACTTTAATTAGATATGGCCCTTATGCTATTTCCAGAAAGTAAGTGATGATCTAGGACTTGGGCCAATCTCCTCCAGTCTGCTGAGCATTTACCGTTGGGGTCAGCAAGTAGTGGACCTTCCAGCTGACCATCCTGCCCTCCCAGTCACATTACAGATGTACTTCACACTACACCTAGCTCGTGTTCCTCCACAACCTGGGTTAGTCCTCCCTATTATACATCTGTAAACCAAGAATCCCACCTTAAGTTTGATATTTTGTTGTGAGTCCTGTTAGGATCATTGTAATGCAATGGAAAGTCCTCTCTTGAAATGCTCTGTAGATTATATGATAAGAAATTGTGACATACAGTAAATCTTTAGTTTAACAAAATATCAAGTACAGTAGTTAGATATAAAAACTGGCTATCAGAGTGAAAGCTTCCCTTCATATAATAGATGTGGAGTAGTAAGTCTTCCAGACAGATAGAGAAGATATTAGTTGCTCCAAAAGAGATACTGTATAGTATTATAATTCTGTTAGCAACAGGTTTAAGTGTTCTAAATACCTACTTCCAGCACAAAGATATCCAAAAGTACACATGGTATGGTCTAAAGAAGAGAGAGGAGAGAGAAGTGTTAGAAATCTGTTTTTTTAAAAGACAACTTGATATGAAGTTACTGTGTACAAAAACAATGAGAAGTGAGGGTGTAGGCAAGCCTGATCCTATAATAATGTGTAGGTTAATGGTCATAGTATGTACAAAGTGGTCAAGAAATGTCAAGTAAAAATTGCTTCAAGTGTTACAGAAGAATATATTTGCCAAACTGGTAAGATATACAGGTTGAACCTCAGTTTACTGGCATTGACTGGACCTGGACCGTGCCGTTAAATCGAAGTACCTACTGTATATGGGCGGGAGGGCGTGTCTGACGAAACCATTGCATCAAGCACTTTAATAAATTTCTGTGTTTCCCTGATTTCATGTGCTTACACTTTTCCATTCCCTTCTTTGTGTCACTGTCCACATAGTGCTTCAGGAGTTTATCTTTCTACTTCTTTAAATCTTAAATTGTTGAGGAACAAACACCATAGATTTCACAAAGTTTACAAACAGACACTCCACAGTCTAGTTTCTGTAATATTTCAACCTCCTGCACAGTGTTCAGGGAAACTCTTTTCTTTTCTTAGTCACTAGCAACTTCAGTAGGATTTTCAGGTCGTTTAGAGGCCGTAATTGATGCAAAGAAAGTAGAAATTTAAGGCGACACATGAGACAAGCACCGGCTGGACTTCAATGCCAAAACAAACCGATCGCAGCGGCACGGGAGCGCCTTTAAATGCGAATTGCCAGTTTAATGCATGGTGAAGTTATTATTGATGATGTTAAAAAGGTAACTTATCAGGTTTCTTGCATCTTTGCTTCATCCTTCAGGATTTTTTTGCAGGCAATATGAATGCAGTAGTGTGGTCTCTCGGTTCTATCAGGGGCTACTCAATTCAGCATTCCTTGGAAAGATCAAAAAGAAAGTTGCAAGTGCTGTGGAACATCATGAATCTTGCTCAAGACAGGAACCAGAAGATGAAGAGGAAATCCCAGATCCTCAGGTAAGGTGTCTATCGATCTGGTTATTTACACATTTCATACATTTGCACTGACACTATAAGGGATCTTACTAGGGGTTTAACCCTTTACAGGGCAAAGTATCCTTTAGGTATTTTATCTTGCCTAATGTCAGGTGATTTTATTCAGCTTAGGGGAGACCCTGCCTGCTAAAGGATTAAAGTTGGCATACAAGGATTTTTTAAGCACATGCTTTAAATGTCTTCTTCACACACTGACACATACAGAATCCAAAAACATTATTGTGCCAATTTTGAACCCTGCTGTGATCTCTTAGTAATGGGATATATTCTTTGACCAATTGTGATGTGTTTACTACTAAATACAATCTGATTGTCATATACTGGTACAGTATGTACTGTACTGTATTATTTTAATTTGAAATTTAATCAACACTTTTTTTTAACAAGTACATACAGTGATGCACTTTTGTTGTGTAATGCATGAGTATTTGCAGATCTTATTGCACTGGGATTATGGTTTCCACATCTTGTTATGATATCTTTAAAAATGCAAATAGTAATACAGTAGGTCTTGAGTTATAACTCCATTTCTGTGACATGTAAAGACCAACTTTCCTAGAGAATAAGATATTTTTTAGGTTAGCTGTATCAACTGATGTGCCATTACAGTATGCCACAAGCCTCATTGAGTACAATAAGTGTTCATTAGTTATGACATTTCTGTTGCTCATCGGTGGGTTGGTATGAATATCATTGGATAACATCCTTGATGTTTTATATTAGGGACCAGAAAGATATAGAATCAATCTTATGGTTGAAATTGTAAGTCAATGATACAGTAATTCCAAGACACATCTTTGATGGGGAATATGAGGAAGGCTGACTGATGTTTGGGGCTCTGTTATTGACTGAAGATGCATAGAATAGAAGAATTTATATAGTACAGTTCATATGCAGTCATTTAAACATCATGAAGAGAAGTGATTAGTTCACCAATACAATAATTTTGTTATCACATATGTGAAACCAAGGTGAGTATTAATAGTGTACAGTATTGGTATTGATTTTACCTTCATTAAAATTAAATGGTTAATTATAGTTCCCTATAAGATTTTTATTTCATGTGAAGGGGAGGTTTGTTTGTTATGCTCAGTGGTTTTATAAAAACATTTTAATGTATTTTTTTCATATCTTCGAGTAAGTGGTAATTAAGTTAGTACCATTAGCAATTTTGGAGGCAAATATATATTTAATGTATACATCATTACAATGGTTAGATTGTGGCTATAGTAATGAATTAAGAATAGCTGAAGTCTCAGTATCTTGTGAAATAATTTACTTTATTTATAGTGTAATATTTTGTAACAGCTCCTTGAATGTCTAGGTTCATTTCAAAAACTGATAGAAAATATGGGAGATGATGTGAGGACTCTTTGAAAGTATTTACAATACATTATTGCTTAAACATGTATTTTTTTTTATGCTCTCTTTGTGTGTATTTTCCTCCTGTTGCCATAGTTTTCTTAAAATAATAAACAGTATACAGTACCAGTAAATGTGAGGAATAAATAAAACTAATTCCAATAAATAAGTTACAACAAAAAGTACTATACTGTATTACCAAACCAGTAAATAAATGCCAAATGAAAGTTTAACACAGTCGCGATTTGCAAATACTCCTGGTTCACCATAGCTACGTAGACCAGCAGGGACGCTACTTCTGCCGATTGCTTAGCAATAATCTCCTCCCACACGCCGCACCCTCCTCCCTTTCCCCCACGTAGCCAGCTAATTTATGCGTTTGCCCCTAGGACAATTATTTCTTGTACTTTTTTCACAAAATGTATGTAGGATGATGTGTGTGTGTGTGTGTAACTTGAGTAAAAATGAAGGAAGAAAATTACTTATACCTACCCAAAAATACTAGTTGAAAAACTACCATAACTCCTCACAGCTTCCCCAGTAGCCTGGTGGTTACAGTGATGAGTCTAACCTGGCTACAGTGCCACCAGCGATGTTAACAGATACAAATGTGAAAAGAATGTTATCTGTAAATCTTCATTTGTATCAGGTATTTGTAGATTGAAAAATAAATGATGCACGTGTGGCATTAATAGATTGTAATGCTTGTAAGAGTTCAGAAATGGTTATCATGATCAGTACAGAGTTATAAATCAAGATTTAATATTTACAATAATTTTTTAATTAATTGAAAATAATAATAATGTATTTAAGTAAGCAATAACATATTTTTAATTCTGGGTTTGGGTTAGGTAGAATTTGGCCTACTGGAGACAGCAACTGGGGGATTCATTAGCAAACAGGAGACTGCAACTTTATTTATAGGACGAAGGCTGATTATTTAGCAGTTTTTCAGACAAAAAAGTGCATCATATTTGCCGTAAAATATACAGTATTTATCAACAGCAAGTGGCAATTTCTTGATGAGCTTGTAAGAGGTAGCCAAACTGTACTGTATATTATACTGTATTGTGTGCAACACTTCACAGGCACTGTACAGTACAGTAAATTGTTCTGATAAACTTAACACTACTTTTTTTTCTTCATTTTTGCCACTTATCACCTTACTAGCTGGTCGGGCTATCCGGTGTTAGTACAGGAGGAAACCAGGGACTAGGAACCTGTGGTGTTTGGTAAGGTCACTGGATAACACCCTTATCACGTGTGTCTGGGCCGAGGCTTGAACCCTTGACATATTGATGAGAGATACTCGCGTTACCGCTGTACCCAATAGTATTATTTATACATAACAGTAACACTTTGCAGGTACTGTAAGTACTGTACTGGTAATTGTTCTGACACATTTAAGACTACACTTTATACATAACACTTAACATTTTCTGTACAGTAACACTTAACAGGAACTTAATCACTTTCTGAAGGTCTACCCATTATGAGAGGTGCATGTAAATTGATGCTGGTGGGCTGCCAACTGAAGCTCGGTGTGAGTTGGCTTGCCGAGTTCTTGTTCTTGACTTGGCTTCTGCCGACTACTAAAAAATATGACAGTTATCTGCTGCCGTACTGACTTATCGGTTGCAAAGTTATGGAGGTTTTACTCTACACCATTAGTGGTGTTTTTTCTAATAATAAAAGTAAGCTTTAGATATATGCTACTATATACACTATTACTATTTGTCTGAAATGTTGAAAACATTAACTTTAATGTAATTACGTATAATTTTTTCTCAGCTTGCAGAGACCACAAAATTATTACTCGGGATGCAGGCGTGGCTTGATGAAAGTCGGCTGTATGAGCCTAGTGTATACCTCCCAGCGCTGCCCCCCCATCTCCTTCCCCAAAAATTAATGCAGATCTTCCAGGTGATTACTTCCTGGGTATTTCCTGTTGCATTCCATCTTCCCTTAACTCTTTTTGTCAAAACATTTATCTACCTGTTTGTCTATTAATTTGTATTGACATCTGCTGTATATTGATTTGTCTATCTGTATGTATGTTTCCGTCTATATTCTTCTTATTTCTTCCAATACAGTACAGTTGTTCATCCAAAAGCTGCTTTATGCAACATAAATTTCAGTGCGTTTTTGCAGACACTGTATTGTATCTCTTCTCAGATACCCCTCCCAAAACATTTACTCCATCGCCACCTTCCACCTTATCTTTAGTCATTTCTTTTACCACCTTCCACATAACTTTACCAAGATATACTCTTTGTGTCTTTCTTTTCATATCCACACTGTTCACACATTCTTTTCATGTAAGTTCTTGTCATTTTAATTTGCACACATTTACATTCATTAAACCATTACATCCTCTTATTTTCTCCTTATGGTTTTCTCCTGATCACAGTAGCTTATCTAGTAGTTGATGAAATAAAATTGATATCGAATATTTATATCAACTGTAGAATTAGATAAATATATAGTAAACAGAGTCCCATGGCTCTAAGCCAGTTTTTAAGTCTCTCCATCCCAGGTTGAAAAGACAGTCAACTGAATTTTCCCCATGATTTTTATTGGAGTATCAAAGATATATTTGGTCAGTACATCTTTTGTGTGAGATCTATATGCACAATGCTTGTTTGATTACAAAGACTTTTCAACATGATCTGCACTGAAAAGTCAACTCAAGAAGCCAAATTTGATATATTGTTCATGGCTTTATTCTCAATCAGAGTGTAGTTTATTATCTGTGAAAGCAGTACATGTACAGTACTATGAATGATGTGGAAATTATTATTAGAATGATATATCTTTTTATGAACTCTTCTCATCATAATCATACTTGAATGTCTTAATATCATTCAGATTGCAAAATTTTCTTTCGTGTCTTGTGGGTCCTCTCGAGTGGCCTGCGAGATGAACCACCATAGTGCACCACTTTGCAGAGCCTATCATTACCAGGGAAAATTAGTTCCTAATAGCAGGACACATGTATCCATGAGGACATGTATATTTGTGCATATCACACTTTGTGAATACAGTACCTTACCTATGTGACAGCCAGGCAGTCGTGAGGAATTCTTAGGTAAGCACTTGAAATATTTGATAATTGAAATATAAATATTGTTACCTGTGACTTGAATCTAATATGTACTGATTTTGTACAGGGTAACTGGGAACCTTGGCCAGAAGCTGTCAACCAGAAAACCATGGAGGAAAGTGCACAGAAGCTGCTCAGGTATGTACCCATGCAGCATCATTTGAAAGACAACTTTAGAGAGAATATCTATCGTAAATAACACCCACAGATTTCAAGTTTCACATTCATAATATTTTTGTTCCAAAAAATCACTAAAATTTAACAAACTTTTCAAAATTTAATTAAAGAAAAATAAGTTAATCCAAAGTGTCCAACTGTTGCCCAGGTGACAGTTCACATCATGTAAGAAAAGAGCCATTTAAATAATGTGGAGAAATTTATGTAATTCATTCATTAATTTTTATAAGACAAAAGTATTGTATAAATGGACATCTGGTAACCATCATATAAGTGTGTGGTAGCGAGTACAGGAGCTGCTGCTGTGGTACTGTATGTATCAAACTTTCATAGAGGGAACATACATACACTAATTGATAATGTCATATTGATTTTTAGGTAATGACTTGTAAAAATTTTGTTTAAGTTACTGAAGTAAAAAAAATTTCCACACTTGCTGAATTTAATTTACACTGCCTTTTTAAGTTCTTGTGGGCCTTTTGTTATTGTTCACAATTAAATTGGATGACATTCCACCAGAGCCCCAGTTGTGGGTTTTCAATGGCTTACAGATCATCATTAGCTAAGTGTTGTATAAGATACAAATGCCATAACATACTAAAGCCCCAAGGGAAAAGTAGACTCTGCCAGAGGTTATTTTACAGTTATGGATCTTGCCAATCACTCATTTCATCGCCTCATTGATGAAATGGGATGCCATACGTTAGTCCTTCATCATCTAGCATTTTGTAATTTTATGGTTTTATTCTAAAGTTATGGTACCAAAAAACAAACTTTTCATATTTTTATACATTTCCTGAATCGCACCAGCTAGAACATTGAAAAAATTTTAATCTCAAGACAGCATGTGTGAGGTAACTTACTTTGGTTTGGTTTTCTCCAGATTATGGGAGCAACATCGAAATGGCAGAAGCTCTGGCAGCAGTTCAGGATCTCCGTCCGTATCGCCAGAGCATCGACAGAAACACTCCTCACTGAGAAACTCTAAACACAATGATCCTAAACAGTCCATCCTCAAGAGACTTGATACTTATGAACCTCCACAGCCATTACCCCCCATACCCCCTAGAAGTCCACTCCACACTCCTTGTCTTCAAGACAAGACTTTAGTAGATCAAGAAGCTCTCATATACCTTGTCCGGCGGTTTACAGGTAGAGGACATTTAAATGATTGATTTGCTTTGAATTATGTTATCTTCTGTACAATATAGTTTTTGCATCTTATGCTATACTTCTTTTTTTATTTATTTTGTTTGTTTGTTGTATACTTTACAGGTAGTTGTTACAGTATTAATGCTTTTGATCAGAGTGCAATATTTATGAATTCAGACAATCAAATTCAGAAAAGTTATTGAGAACTTCAGTAGAAATAGATGTTTAGATATAAAGTACAGGTACAGTCATATCCCTGTGGAAACAATAACATAAAGGTGGTCCTAGAGATGATTTTGGCATAAGCTATGGTATCAAATATACTGGCATGCAAGACAACCTTTGAAACTTTACAAAATTCCTCCCAAACTAGGGGTCGCCTTAGAGTATATGCTAGGTGTAAATGTGAACTTTTATATCATATGTTGTACCATATTTCCCCGTGGAAGACGCACCCCTAACTAAGCAATGAGTGTCTAGAAAAAAGAACTAAATATTAGGTAATTTTAAATATTAGGCAGGGTAAGATTTAATAGCACTGTCGAGGAAGCTGTGACTGCCACTGGAACACGGATATAGAAAAAAATTGACTGGCATGTAAGAAAGAAACATGAAAAACCTTATAGAAAAAATGCAACAAACAAGGAGGAAAAGGGAAAGAGGACTAAAGATCAGAAAATAAAGTTGAGGCAGATAATGCAAGACATTAAGAAAGGATGTGGTGAGGAATTGGAAAGAAAGATACTGTAGTGATTTTGTAGGTAATAAATCAGTAAGGAGAGGGGACGAACAAGAAAGAGTTGAGGGGGCAAGGTGCACTATGACCTAGAAGTGATGGGATGAACACCCAGAAGTCATTGATTAACATCACTGACTTGTGAGCATGATGTTAAGTGATTCTAAATGATGACCATGTTGCTGAGGAGTGATGTTAGTTTGTGTGAAGTGATGTGGTAAACCAAATAGATATATTAGGCACTCCCCAAGTTATGAACAGTTTATGTTCCTGGGCCCTGTTATTAACTCAGAACAGTGTAAATTCCATTGGTTAGGTTTAAACACAATCCTGCCCATACAAAACGAAAGTAATATCCCATACATAGCAAATAATGTAAATACAGTACAATACTGTAAATCCTCGAAACTCTTGACAATTTAGGGGGAAAGACGGTCCGGAATTGCCAATTGTCCGGACTTTTACCAAGTGGGGGTCCTGGGGGCCACTGTGCACTAAGCAGCCACTCGCTAGCAACAGTTACATGCATGCTCTTCCTCCCTCATACGGTGCTCTTCAAAATTGATGTACAGTGCAATTCCTATTATCCGAACTCTTTGGGACGAATAAATAAAATATAATAAAAAATACTGCATTGCCAGTTGGCAATAGTTTCACTACATGCAGGAGACTGGAGCAGCTGAGATCTCCAACACTACTCCCTCTTCCCACAATCTGGGCCCTGACTACTCAATTTTTGGGGAATGGCACTTGGCCCCTTGTCACACTCAGCACCTTATATAGTACAGTAATGTAAAAAAAGAAGATTTTAATTGCATATTTTGTGATGAATATATTGAGATCCCATTCATAAGTACAGTACAGGTGCTTGTAATTCAGGCATTTGTAACACGGAGCTGCCTGTATAGGGCACTATTTTGGAAAGAGAACGCTTTAGAAAAAAATATCTTTTATAGCAGTAAAATTTAATGAATATAAGTGAGTAAAGGGAGAGACTGTTTTTACTTGATTTTGGCCACTCTGGATTGTTGTAAGTCTTGGCTTGTAAGAGGGAATAATATAGTAATAATAATTTAGGGGAAGGAAGATTTTTGTAAGGTAATCACTGCTACAGTCAAACTCAAAAAGGAAGTAGAATCTAATCAGACATATTTAGAGAAGAGTATGATTTAGCTTGTCTCTCATGTTGAAAGACAACAAAATAGAAGCAATAGCATGTTGAAATTCTTTTAATTTCCTAAAATAAGGTACGTATACTGTACATAACTCAAGTGAGTGAGACTGGGAATCTCTTGTATGGGAATTTATCATCAGTCTTCAGCATAGATCCAGAGTAAAGAAATTTAAGTGATGCATACGAGTAACAGTATGGGTGTAGGGTAGTCTTAATACCAGAAAGCTCTGTTCTATGAGCCATTCATGACAGGTTGGGAAGGTTGTCTTAAAAATTAATAATGTTATTCTTTTGTGATTCATAGTTTTTTTTCCAGAGTTTTTGGTAGAACACTCCCAGGCTGTAAATTTGTGGCTGAGTGAGATGTGTGCACTTGACTGTGTGTATAGAGAGGTATTGCCACAACTATGGACAAATGCAGATACCAAAGCTATTCTCAACGCAGAATGTAAACCTCCTAAAGTTGGCCGCCAACAGCCCAAGTGTTCTGGAGAGGCCAGTATTGTTATTGAAGTAAGTACAGTGTTTTATTCTGTGATTATGTTCTTTAAAAAAGATGTATAATCTAATATATATATATATATATATATATATATATATATATATATATATATATATATATATATATATATATATATATATATATATATATATATATATATATATATATATATATATATATATATATATATATATATATATATATATATATATATATATATATATATATATATATATATATATATATATATATATATATATATATATATATTAGATCATAATTCTTTTTTAAAGAACAACACACATGCATACATACGTCCCTGCGTGTGCAAAAAGATTACTCTACTCTAAGGTTTTGGAAACACTACCAAGTTAAAATGATGATGGACAAACCATTGATTCTCTGTTAAAGACCCAAGTGTTTATAGTGATTGTGGAAGAAAGTAACTGGTCCTTCAATACACCTAAGAAGCTAGTAACTGTGATCCACAAAGAATACTTGAAGCAACAGTATTACTGGGAATAACCTTTTCCCACTACAATTTTACCAGACCAGATAAATCTATCCTGTTAGATAAAACATTTTACAGTATAATAATAGGTATTCTTATGTGCATCCTTGGATTATCAGATTAGAATTTCAAGCTCTTTGTTTTGTTTTTTTGCACTCGTTGTGGGATATGTTTAATCACCAACACAATTCTTGGTAATAGTTGTGGCATCTTCAACTAAAACATATATTATAGCACTAATACTGTACAGAGCAGAAACAGTCAACAGCTGTAATATAAAATTATTAAGTTGATAGATATATTTGATTAACTTAACTCTCAGTGTGATAGTTTTACTACAACCATAACCAACATAAGCTGAGATCAAAAGAAAGAGCTTGTAACTTCCTGACTGTTTGGTGAGTTTGAGACATAAATGAAGGGTTCATAAGCTTCAGGTACACACTCATCCCTAATAATAATGCATCCAGATTAAAGATCATTTATCTCACCCCACATCATGCAGGTTGATCTCATGTCAGCAACAACTTTTGGTCTCTAATTGGAAGTTAGCTTTCAATCTGAACAAATCCTCTTTCCAGTGACACAGTCACTATTATGGAGTAGTCAAAAAGACATATTAATTGAAATATTTAATCTCGAAAGGAATTTGATGTATAAATGCCAGTACAGTATATGCTAAAATAATTTGCTGCTTATGTTTCACTCAGAATTTTGTATTTAAGAATATAATTATTTACTTCTCTAAGCTTTGCTTTTCTTTGCTTTAAACAGTTTTCAGAAGCTCGACTAAATGAGAGAGAAAATGCTCGTATTGAGCAAAATCGAGAACAGTATGAGGCAGTCTACCAACGTTGTCAGAAGCCACCACCATTACAGCTCTGTCAAGCAGCAGTGAGTTTGGAGGCCATAATCACGTAAGTTATTTTAACATAACCTAATTTGTTGTACGGTAGAGTATCAAAAATTCATAATCATTGTGACCAAACAATCAGCAAATTTTAAATTTTTATAGCATTTAGAATTATGGGCCATAGGTTGTGATCTGAATACAGTATATGGTAACCTTAACAGAAAACATCTCACCACCAAGGATGGAGTGAATACAAGAGTTCTTTATTTGAATACGAATACTTCTAATTTTTAATAATACAAATACAAAGAACAGTGTCACTCTGAATGCAAATACAAATACTTTATGAAAGTATTCATGAATGCATTGTATTGTTTAAAAACTAACGCACCCCTGCCTCACACACAGCCTCCTCCTCACACACACACACACACACACACACACACACACACACACACACATCCTCTCTGTCACAGTACAGCTCCTCCCCGACTTACGATGGGGTTAGGGACCGAAATCCAGATCGTAAGTCGAAATGTTCGTAAGTCGGAAATGCTTAAATAATACATAGAAAATCTAAAATGGGTGTCTCGTTTTCATCTCGGCACCACAAAATACTCACTTTTAAGCTTGCCAGCCATTTTAAAGTGAATTACAAACGAAAATTTTGTCTGTACTGACTTTGGGACTCAAAAATACGTAATTTGACCAAATTTTGGTGCGACTGAGGCAGGTCGTAAGTGTGGGTGGTCGTAAGTCGAGTAGGTCGTAAGTCGGGGAGGAGCTGTATAGTGTTTGGTGTCCATATCGTCCCCTCTGAGTGAAGGGGTTAAGATATTTTGGTAAGTATTTTGTTTTGTAGTAATATGTCTCAACTACAATGGGACTTTAAGGAAAAATGTGATACAGTTTACAAAAGGTTCTTCAGGAATTGAACCCTTTTGTAAATTGGGAATGCTTGGTTCAACTTGACTGCAACATTTTTTTAAACCACTCATATGTAAGCCTGTCAGTGTCAGTTAGCACCTAGCACTATCACTTGGGCAATTTTTAATTGCCATTATAAGGACAGAATTTATGAAAATATAAAACAAATACAGTACTGTACTGTACTGTAATTGAGAAAAGCAGTAAACTTTAATGCCATGAATTCAGACAAGAACAATGACCAAGCAGTGGCATGGGCTATGACTGTGTGTGGTAAACAGAGCAGCCAATTTTGGACACTCATGCTCCAAGTTGGCAGTAATCTGCTAAGTGTTGGACTAGGGCCTCAGTTCACTAACATGACCGTAACTTTGATCATATCTCTCCCTTTATCTTGAGAGGCTAGGGTGACCATACGATATTGGTAATAGGCAATTCACTAAAGTCACATTTGGCGACCGCAAGTAAGTTTAGTTCAGTAAGCTACCACTAGGTGGAGTTGGGTGCATTTGTTTTGATTCCTTGCTAGACCAATCTCCGTGCCCAGAACAAACACTGGGAAGGAATATAAACCAATCACAAGTTACCCACACCAGCAGATGATGCATAAAGTCACATGTGACAAGAACAACGGAGGACAATAGTCTAAAAGAAAAGGCGGCTGAATTTTTCTGAAGAGATTTTCGTTAATAATGAAAATATTAATAAGAGTAATAATAATAATATTTTATTAATAAAAGTAATAATAATAATAAGGTAATAAAAATAATGATCATTATTATTAATATTACTATTATTTTAGAGCAACTACACTATAATTCTTGACATTGTTGATTGTCTTAAGCCATTAACGTCATCAACTACACTCTAGAAACTACCACTTGCATAAAGCTTCAAAGCTATTAACACAGATGTATCTTATCTAACTAGAGTATATCCCTACATATCAGTAGGTGGTCATCAATTTGTAGAGAGTCCAAAAGCTTCAACGTCACAGGCCTGGCTTCGCATTTTCTTCTTAACACGCTCACTGACCATATTGTGATGTCACAGCCAAGCTGACCCTTGGCTTTTCTGTTACCATAATGACTTGGCCTGCTAAGGAAATCCAGGTGTGTGCTATAGCCTCAGTGACATAATAGCTGATCCCTTCTATTCCTATTGGTCTATTCTCACAATGACATGACTTGAACTTCTGATAAGTACCACCTCAGCCTCTTCAGTCAGGGGCGTCATTTTTTTTTTTTTTTTTTGTGGGGGGGCACTCGCTCCTGCCAAGACCTGGCTTGCCCCTCCCAAGGGCTGTCTTGCTCTCTAAAGAAAATTTTAACTATATTCCTTTATCATATACCCTGTAGATGAATTTGTATTTGGTGAGAACATCTCAATGGCATTTTTACTGTTCATAATTAAAGAAAATTATAAGTATTCATCTATTTTTATCATTCACATTGCCTATCATTTATAAACTGAATAGCAGCAAGGAAGTAAGTCATATTGCTAGCAACCACACGGTCCACACCGGGCAGATGCAAATTGAAAATATAAAACGTGTTGGAACATGTTCTGCCTGTTACAGCACCACCTGGCGGCTCCGCGGTGGAGCAAGATTTTGACCCCTACTCTTTGCATGTAATGGTGTTGCCCCAGCAAAATCTGAAATGACACCCCTTTCTTCAGTCCCAGGTGCTGTTGGCTGACCAACAGAATCTCTGAAAATCTTAATATGATTCGTTGCACTGCTTCGCTGAGATTAGTTTTTGTGACTGTAAATTACTGTTTATGTGTTATGTATATTTAGTAGACTTTCTGCATTATTGATTTGGTTTAAGTAAATAAAATAACTGAATGAATAAAATAAATGAATGAAATAAATGAATAAAATTAATTTTGATGAATAATGAATGAAACAAATGAATGAATATATTGATATGATGCTGTGTGTCTGTCTGTCCATCTGTCTCTTAACAATATAGAAGGCTGCTTGCAGATGGGAGGTAACTAAAGTATCTTTGGATGAGAGAAGTTATTTGCAATTTACAGACATATTAGATACATTTCCTCATTGTAGCGCCTCATTAATAATGTGTGAATGTGGGGAGATGAAGCTTGTCTGAACAAGCATACACAAGCAAGATATTAGAAAGGAGAAAATTAGAAATAATAGAACAGCACAAGTTTGACAAGCATTAAGCACTAGAGATTGGGAAAATTACTTGTACTGTACTGTAAAGATGAAGTAGAATTTAGGAATGTATATAGGAATCCCAGAAAAAAACCTCAGTTGGAGAAAAAGCACTTCTCATGCATCTCTCTCAAAAATAAGTTATTTTTTGTTTTACTTTTATCCCCAGAATTTTGGTAAATGGATTTCGGAAAGCCAGCGTAGAACATGATCAAGAGAAATTAGCACTCCTACTTACAAGTGGGCGTGAACTTTTTTATCATATTATTCAGCTTACATCAGATGACACAAGCTTTTATCCTCCTGCCAAGCAGCTCATCACTTCTTGTGCTGAAGTATTGGGGCAGGTAAGCAATGAGGAATTACCATGACCCATCATGGATGTCAGAGTAATGTGCTGTAGCTGTCTGTCCTATCATTCATAAGTGCTCATATCCCAGATTCTTACCACATTTCCTGGGATTGTATTTTATGTGTGTGTGTACCTTATGTAATATTGAAGATTAGTTTTAAGTTGATATACATGAGGTCCTTGCTTATTGTCATTGATGTGTTCCAGAAATGTGAGATTTTTAACAAAATGACACAAAATATATAAATTTTCCCCATAAGAATGTATGTAAATATGGGGGATCAGGTTCCTGGGGGCAATTTCTTCAACTAAGATATGAAAAAATAAATTAAGATCAAGAATACCTATATTTTTTACAATTTAAGGCCTCTGGTGATGATGCTGGACTCTGTCTCTTGATCATCCCTTAATTAGTCTGCTGATCCTCCTGTGTCTGATGTTCATCCACACAAAAATAACATACAGTGTTTGTTGCATCCTCTTCTTTTACTGCTCTTGATCATTTCCTTGTATCTTCTATTACCCTATTTACTTGGAAGTCCATTCCCTTTTTGGGTCATCATCATTGAAAATTTGTAATTCACCATCCATCTTTTGAAGTGCTTGAGCCATGTGTTTCATTATCAGATGTCGAGTGGGTGTTTCTTCTTTCCTGTTCATATCTTCAGTAGCTCTACATTTCCTATTGTTGTAAATATTCATTAGTTACCTCTTGTGCATGGGAGTCAAGAACTTATAAAACATCAACCTCTTCTACTTCATTTAATCCTGCTTCCTTGACCAGGTTAACTATACTGTATTCTTCTTCACTATGGTGACAGTATTTTTAATTCGCCTGAAGTTGTTATCACATTATCATTACACTTAAGAATATTGTGCCTGCATAAACATCATTGGCACTGTGTCAAGGATCAACATAGTAGACAGTACTGTAGGCCTTAAAGGTATTGATGATTCCTTGATCTATGGGTTACAGAATTGAAATTATATTAAGGGAGGAATACAACTTTAAAATTATCTTACAGATTACTGGGGTTGATGCAGTGGGATGAGTTGAATCATTATCTATTTCAGCATTACATTACTAAAATCTTCATATCAAGGTTTACCTCTGCAACACAAAGTAATTAGTGTACATGGTAGCAAACAACAGCCAACAACAATATAACAGAACATAGCTATGACAAACAGACTCCTCTAATTCAATAGTGACTTCGTAACAAAACAACAAAGCAGCAAGACAAATGGGGACCTCCTAAACTTTTATTGTTTATTTTATTTGGGGTTTGATACCTCAAATGATGGGCAGCATTTATCATGTTACTGACATGAAGAGGCTTTAGAGATAAACAATACTGTATCTCTTAGATGCACCCTCTTTAAAAGAGTTGGGATATAAATCATTGTAACATTGTTTTTGATAAAATTTTGTTTTACAATATGCATATGTAATTATTAGATTCCATTTCTTTTGTAGGAGTTTTTGAGAGGCCATAAAGATTGCCAGGAGGGTGTAGTAGCTCAAGTACTTGAATGGGGTGGAGAGCTGGGGGGACTCCTGGCTCCTCACTTTACCCCAGCAATCACCACCACGCGCACCTTCCTGACACTCTACTCCTCTCTCTGCACACATGCTTCTGTTGCTCCTGACCACACCTTCATGCTTCTTTCTAAGGTAACCATAAGCAGTATTAGTTTTTTGTTAAGGTAAAATTTACTGTACAGTGGTCCCTCGGTTAACGAACACAATCCATTCCAGCAGGTTGTTCGTTAACCGAAAAATTCGTTAACCGAAACCATTGTTTCAATGGGTTTTTGGGTAATTGGTTCCAGCTCACCGAAAATTGCCTAAATTCTACAAAAATGGTAGAAAAGTTCACTTACTTTGAGGTGTGTATGTAGAAGGCTCCTGGATGATGATGATGATGATGGGAATTAGAATGGGGGTGGAGGAGAAGGAAGAAGAGAAGGCATTGGGGTGGAAGAGAAGTCACCCCATGGCACCATTTCACCCATAAAATTTTAGTTCTCTTGGTGTATTTCAAGATTATGTTCTTTAAATCAACACTGCACTGCATTATATATTGTCAATATGTAAAATATATTTCAAAATGACCAATAATTTGCTTGGAAACACAGAAAAAAGCGTTTAGTTGAAGAGAGTCTCAAGCAAGATGTTACCTCCAGTGTTAAGAGGCTGGATGCCGCGCATTAAACTAGTCACTTTACCTTCAATTCTGTTCAATAATTGTTAAAATGACTAAAAAATTGAATATTATACTTTTAAAATTATTGAATAGTATAAACTTCTTGATATTTACTAAAATAGTAAGTCATTTAAGCCCTAGAACCGATTAATGTATTGGCGGACTAATACTAAAGCTGGTTGACCGGCCAGTGCAAGCGAAAACATGTTGAGGTCGGTTCGTAAGAAATTCGTTAACCGAATTTTTTTTCGTTAACCGAATTTAAGAATCTTATGGGAGGCAGTTCGTTAACCGAAATTTCGTTAACCGAGGCGCTCATTAACCGAGGGACCACTGTATTGTCTGTGAAAATCAGGTTGCATAACACATCAAAGTAAATGGAATCTTAATTTCTTTATCCACTTTATAAGAAAAAACTGCACAGTGAACTTTGTTATTTTTATATTGTTTAATTGATAAAGTAACTAAAGTAATTGTTAATTTTTTGAAAATTTTAGTTAAAGGTTACATAATGCTTTTTTTTTTTAATTGGGAAAAAGTCTGGATCATAAGTACAGTGGCTTCCTTAGTACCAAGTGTAGTCACTGATTATTAATAAGGTTAGCTGATTCTGTTAGGGTTCAATTCCAAAATTAATTTTGTACTTATTTTCAGTTTGACATTGAGAGCTGGCTTTCAAATGCTCATCCAAATGGTAGTGACCAAACTGAGCTCATTAATGCTGTGGGAGCAGCTCTCTCATCACTTCTACCACGACCACACCCAAGCCTGCTCATGGTTCTTGAGGTAAGGAAACTATAGGTATATGAAGATGCAGTATTAAAATGATATTGTATGCTTATTGGAGTATACCTCACTATTCTTGGTCTCCGTGTTGTTTGCATTGAGATACACTTACACTTGAGCTTGTATCACGTAGAAGGTTTTGCTTGGGGTGCCTCTTCTATTAGGCAAAGAAACACCTACAGAAATATGCTCACTATACAAGAATCATGTGTAAATTAGTTGTCAGTCTCTTTTCTGTATATATTATGAGGGTCCATCATTTTGATAAGAATGCCTCATAGTTTTTTTTTCCTTGGACCCTTTGTGCCTTCATAACCAGTTCCAAGGTCGATCTTTTTACTAAATGCCAAATCCTTCATATTCAGTTGCTGTTTTAAAAGGGTTCCACATAACCTTGTTTGTAATTTGTTCACTTAACTTTTGTATGTGCTCTTATTCTAATCATCATATAACATCAGCTGTTTCTCACTCTTTAGGCAAAGTAATGTGTACATGGCCCTTTCTAAATGCATAGGCTGCCACTCATCTCTCTCTTTCATTAAAATCTTTATCTCTGTTACAAGAAGGCTATCAATATCATGTCAGCTTATATTTGTGTAACCCATATTTACTTTCTTTGTCAAATTTACGAACTTATGCAAAGAGTTCTTAAGATTGATAATTTATTTCATCATTATAGTATTACATTGTATTGTTCCTTTTGAGATTAGGAAATTGTCATTAACAATTCCACTGCATCTTATTTCATATTTTGAGGCAAGAATAGTGAGATTACACTTGAGCAAATATAACATGACACGAAAATAAGTTGATGAAATTTTATTTATACTTTACTGTAAACAATTTTGAGTCAAAATCATGGTTATAGTATAAATACCCTGTATACATTGTTTAAGTTTGAGAAGAGATAAATTCTTGATATACAGTCAACCCTCGCTTTACGCGGTCCCACATTCCGCGTTTCCACGTTTACGCGGTACCCTGCCGAAACAGGAATGCTCACATTCAGCGTTGCGTGTACCCCTTTACGCGGAGAGCGGCTGGCGAGCCACACCATTTTTGGATCCAAACCTCCCGCCCTCTCCCGCCATCCGCCATGTTGTGTAAGCGGCGCGAGCATGGTGCGCACAAGGTCACCCAGTCATCAAAACATTACTGAGTTCTTCACCCGCCACCCACCACAGCTGGCCCAAGTCAGTGATAGTGATAATTATAGTGAGGATATGGACTTATATGGACTTTGAGGGGTTTGACAAAGAGGCCCTGCAAGCCTCTGTGGTGAATAGTGATACAATTGATACAAGTGATACAGGTGAGGGCCAATAATCTGCCCTCTGCCTCGGAACCAACCGCCCATCCCCGTGTGCCCAGCCATCTTTTCTACTAATGTAAGTGTTAAAAAACCTAATATTATTGATATTTTTCTTAATTATTAATTGTGTGTGCATACCATCATAAAGTTAAGATAATATTTTTATTACAACATAGTTGTGTGTCGTCAAAAAGTGGAGTTTGGGGGTCGGCCCGGTCTCTATTTCAATTAATCCCATATGTTATGTTGTTCACTTTACGCGTTTCTCACTTTACACGGTACCCTGTGGGTTGAATTAACCGCGTAAAGTGAGGGTTGACTGTATTATATATTGTCATGTTTTATTGTATATAATTTTATATTCTAAATCAACACTTTTTTGTCAGCTGTATCGTGTTCACCTTCGGATTCTACTTAACTATAAGTTCCCAGAGCATTACACGGAGGTGCTCAACGTGTTGCTCCACATATCATCAAATACTCAGGTAATCTATTCATTTACTCAGTAATCCCTTCGTTAGCCAGAATCTTATATCCCCGGAAGTCTCTAACTGCTGCTGCTGCTTTTTTTCTTTCTTTAAGAACATTCCAAGAAATCCCAGGAAAAATTTATCCATTCCTGGCATGGGAATGGATTTTCGAAGATTGCATCATGTTTCTGATACAGAAATGTATGCCGGGCACGTGGGTTAGTAGGCTCAAAGTGCTCTTGAGCTATGATTGGCTACTACTGTCATGTGACTGCATGGGATGCCTATGATTGGTTGATGTATCTTGCAGCCTATCTCCTCAAACTCTTGCATCATGACACTATAAGTTCATTGTCTGCTGCCATTGTACAAGCTTGTTCACTCGCTCACTGCTGTTTTTGCATGTGATCTGTGTTGTGCAGTAATGTACATTACTGTACCAACATATTGTCAGCCAAGAATACCATTAAAGCAGTGTTAAGATATAAAAAGTGAATATAGTTATGTATACTATACTGTACTGTACATTCAGAAAGTGTGAAAGTACTGTATGTACAGTACTGTACATAGCAGAGTAGACTGTCTGTGTTAGTATGTAGAGGGTGTATGTACAGTATACGGTGTGTGTACAATCCCTCCTTCATGCCATGACAAATGGTGATATACACACAAGTTTTTTCCTAAATCGTCACTGCTAAAATGGGAGATGTGTCTTATAAGACGTAAAATACAGTTTGGTGTTTTTTGTATCATTATTTTTTTTTGCATTTAGTACATTCGTCGGAAGACACAAACAATAGGTTTCTTTTACAGGTGGTCCCCCCTGTTATTATAAAAACTTGATTATTATTTTTATTATTATTACCCGTATCAATAAAGTCTGTGTACAATCTGTTACTTTTTTACATTTAGTAATTACATGTACACATTTATGGGTCGATAAATTTTTATTGTTGTATTTTTGTAGGAACGGGAAGTGCCTCGATAAGTCGGAATTTCGGATAATTTGGCTAGGCCAGAGCCCCATATATGCCAAGTTATCGAGGGTTTACTGTATTGGCCAATTTATTGAATGAGACAAAAATTATTTATGAACTCTTTACTTCTGCCCTCTGTTCACTTGGGCAACACTGAATGCTACAGAGTGAGCAGTCAGAGATACACTGATTGACCATTCACTACATGGTCAATCAGTGTATCTCTGGAATACAAAAACAAACAAGATGGCCATAGTTGAATGTAAAATAGCTGCTGGTATTTCAGTTTCCCACTGACTGCTAAAAAGACCACTTAATTATCACAGTTGCTTCAATCTAAGTATTAGATAATTGTTGTAGCTGAATATAACTTCTTAAATAGCTGTTGGTGTTTTTTTTTTTCAATTTTATTTATTTTACAATAATTTCACCAATATAATCAGCTTATACTGTACTGTACTAGCTCTTTGGGGGGCTGGTCGGTTCTTTGTTAAATTGTTAAAAACTTTATTTTTCCCTTGCTGGTACAGGAGGAAATCTGTAATGTGTGGTAGTGGGTGTCACACTATGTCTGGGCAAAGGACTCAAACCCATGACAATGATGACAAAGTGGTGAGAGATAATGTACATTTCTTTTACTCACAAACAAACTGTGTTATGAAGCGAGCCATCTCTGGCTATAGTTCACTTCACCTGGCATGTGGAAGATACAGTGTTGCAATACTGCCCTGTTCACCAGCCTAGCATGCACTACTTAGCGAGTATATTGCTCAAGTGAATGCAGGGCTGGCAAATTTCAAGACTCTATAAGGTGCTAAGATGTCAACAAACCTATTTAATTCCATTTGGATAGGTAACTCATCTCTTAAATAGACTGTGTTTATTGTTTTTTTATTCAAAGTATAGTGTCCATACAAAAAATTTCCTGTATTTTTATTGAAGAAGTAAGACAAATATTCAGCTGAGTTCATGTGAGTAAGTGGAGGCAAAACTTAAATTAACAAGGGAAGACTATTTAACCTAGCCAAGGAAAGAGAATGTCCAGTTTTTAAGATTGTCCAGTTTTCTAAAATCCGATTTTAAGGGTCTGTGCTTGTAGTAGTAATAGAAATATGAAAATTTGTCTGTCTTTATTCGTATACAGTATAAGATATTGTTTCTCCAAATTTATGGCTGATCTGATGATTCACTCAAGACTTATGGCTCTTGAATTAAAAAAATAAATAAATAAAAATTTCATTGAGCATTTGCTGTTGTTACATCTGCTCCTGTTGCTAGTAACTTTCATAGACCTGTATGAAAATTCATTGAATTAGAGAATAATGATTTAATTCAGGACCATTTTTTTTCAGGAGGACTGTGGGGGTGTGAGTTCTGGCTTGTGGTATGACCTGATCAACACTTTGTCCGTGGGTCTCGTTCACTTTACACCTGACATGGACCGTAGAGCTTTTATCCAAGCTATTAGAGATTTTGCTCAGCATCAAACAAGACTTTCACAGTCTATGGTAAGGATGAATTGTTGCCATAATTTTAGTTTTATAAAAGTAACTGTTAATTATATTTGATGTTTATTGCTTAATTAGAACTTTGAATGTTATCCATTAATGTCTTCATATGAACCTGGGAGATTAGTCCATGGTCTCTCAGCTATGAAAGCAGCAGGAATGAAGAGAAAGAACCCTGAGCCTGTAGAAGTCCAAAAATCCGGACTGCTTGGGGATTGGGTTGGTCCGGATTTTCGGATTTTCCGGATTCTCAGGCAGTACTTTTAAAATTCAAATTTAAGGAGGAATAAAGAAGAGATGAACAGGTACATTTTGATAGTTTATTCATTAGCAAATATAGCGTGCTTCATTTATCAAAACGAGCAGTTTTAATGAAAAAGCTGTGAATTCTAGAATTTTATTCTTTGCCATTTTTATATCATAAATTGTATACTTTCCAATGTTGTATGTTTCCATTAGAACAGTATTGCTCACACCATGTTCTAGTTTCTTAATTATTTCAAGTTTGTCACTCAATTTCAACGTGTTCTTCTTTCTCTTCACACAACGAATCTACTTTAGGAGCCATTATTATGGGCTTGTATAGTACTCTGTAAATGGAAAGAGTAGGACTCAAAATATTGTTATATTATAATGGTATTCTATTCATACTGTGCTTGATATAATGCATTCACGGAAATGTAATATTTTTGCTGAAATGACGTACGTATTACAGTGGAAAGTGGGAAAAAATCGTGACGAAAACAATGACTTTCCCTTTCTTTCGTTCAAAAGATGTTTACCGTAATCGCTTTTCGTATGGTTTTCAGTTAAAAAACTGTTGTATTACAATAATATTCTATCCTAATTGACTTGAATAAATACTACAATACCATATTTCTGAATATTTTCATTAAAATCCATTAAAATCATTTTCCTTTTCATCGTCTGCAACACCAAACAGCTTCTCCCAGTCCTCTCCTTGAACAGGGCTAGAGGGTACGTGTTTTTCGAATCGTTTTCAGTTAAAAAATTATTACATCACACGTAAATTTTACCTAAACTGTGCCTGAATGAATATATTCTCGGAAATAAATAGTAGTTTTGCTGAAACGTGATGTATTTTAATGTAAAATAGGATAAAATACATGATGAAAACAAAAGACTTTACCTAAGCTTCCGATGTTCTTGAGATGTTACTCGTTTTTTTAATAGTTTTCGGTTAAAATTCTGTTATATTACAATGATATGATATTCATTCTGTGCTTGATATAATACATTCACGGAAATGTAATATTTTTGCTGAAATTACGTACGTATTACAGTGGAAAGTGGGATCAAATTGTGACGAAAACAATGACTTTCGCTTTCTTTCGTTCAAAAGATGTTACCGTAATCGCTTTTCGAATGGTTTAGTTAAGAAACTGTATTACAATAATATTCCCTCCTAATTGACTTGAATAAATATTTGAATGGAAATATACAATATTTTTGTTGAAACTACCCGCGTTTCAGTGTAAATTGTCGTAATAATAAATGGTAAACAATTTGCCTTCGGCACTCGTGTTTCAGGCACGGCAAGCCTCGGTTTATAGGATGTAGTGTTTTTACTGAAGGTTTTGTTGTTCCATTACCCTCAAAAACGTGGGTCGAACTATAAACGAGGAATATCATGAATTAACGATTTCTTGGTCAAAAAATCAGGGTCGACCTATAAACGAGGGGAGGTTATAGACGAGTATATACAGTATGTTGTCACAGTTTGATTGCTCGTTTTAAAGTGGCGACCACGAGGTCGCCTGTTGTCGCTGTGCAGCTGTGGCGCTCACGCATGCGCACATACACACAAAAGCCCGCTAAAAAAAAAAAAAAAATAGTTTTTGAAAAGTCTGGATTCTCGGGTGGTCCGGATTTCTGGCATCCGGATTTTTGGACTTTTACTGTAGTAGGATTTCCCCCACATTCTCGAACCACATAGCCAGCTTCAAACTTGGATTGCTCTCAACTTCAGGTCATAGCTGCAGTTACTTCAACTTTAGATATTCATATAAGTTTGGATGTGACCCAAGTGTACTTTAACGCTAGATATTCATATATCCACTAACTTATTCACTGTCTTGTATTAACATTGCTTATTCCATTTAGTATGATATAAGTTAAACAGTTCAACTAGCACTGGTTTACATTGTCAAACACTAGCAACTGTAACAGAACCATGCTTCTTTATAACTAAACCCTGCACACAGACTTGTTGATTTAATTAATTTAAAACTGGCATTTACACAGTAAAGGGAACTTTATTAAATTTAGAATTCAGGTTTAACTTTAGATTTTTACAATTAGCAAATTCATTATATGACTTAGATATATTGATCGTCTGCCAGAAACATCTTGATATCTCCCATCATACTGAAAAACCAGAGTGTATGGGGATGAATGACCATTGGGGATGGACATGTTGCTGATGTTAGGTTGTGTGAAATGACAAGAGGTAAACCATTGGATATTTAGAGCCTTATTGTGAAAGGGAATTACCATGGTAGATTATATTTTTTCATTATTAAGATTGAATGAAGAGAGATTTTGTTTTTGTATTTGCTCTTGATTCTGACCACTGTGCCAAACTGGGAAAAAGGCTTGAAAAAAAGATAAATATTCACCTGTTGACAGTAACCTCTGAGTATTGGTTTCATTTCCATTCATCAGATTTTTATGAAGGTACAAAGAATTAAAAAGAATTCACTTAAGTTGGTGAGTAGCTGTACTAGTCCCATACGAAAGTTCCAATATCAGAAACGTGCTAAAATAAAATATTGTATGACTTCTTGGGAGCACAAATCCTCAGTGACCCTGTCTGAGTCATCCCCTAATTCTGTTTTGTTCTAAGTTTTATATATTGTGTTCCAGGTGGAAGACACCCTGAAGATGCTTTCAAGCTACTTTGTGAATCAGCGTCTTGAGTTTGGGCTGTATGGGTTGTATCCCAAGTACCAACTGCACATTCAGCCCATTGCTGTCTTCTTGAGTCTTGTCTCACACACTTACATTGTCACAACTTTTCATACCAACTGGGGAGCTTCTCAGGATGAGTGTGAGTTCTTGCACTGTATCAAGTGTTCATATTGTCATTGATTGTACATAGTAAAGGTTTAATGATATGTATTTGATTTATTTTTGATAAGTTTTTCTATTTGCATCTCAGCTAGTTCTTTTCTCTTAATATCAAAATTAATGTATGAAATATGGTGTAGTTTTAGTTGGGACCACTGAGTTATATGATTATAATTTAAATATACAGTACTGTTCAGGGCATGTGTGTATTTTAGCTTTGGACACCTTAATCTTAAGGGCTTTTATTTGTTCAACACTAGTGATACAAGAAGTATGGGCAGCAGTTGAGAGTTTGTGGACAGGATGGGTAGCGCCTCTTGGAGGCCGTGATCGTCTGTCCTGCCCTGCTTGGCTGCGTCACCTCACTCGCGATATACGGTTGTTGCTGCCTTGGGCCCCAAGTGATGCCACATCAGCTGATATGATGTTTGCCATGTTCTCTGCTTCCCTGGAATTTATGCATGAACATTTACCAGGTAAATTCTGGTTGAACCACCTCAAATGTGGGAGCAAAGATTGATAGATAAAGACCATCTCTTTCTTTGTAAACTAAGTTATTCTTTTATATAGAATGTATAAAATTGTCAGAAATTATCTTTATTATTTCTTGATACATTTTCCATTCAAACTTCCTTATTTTGGTTCTCCTGCATACTTTTACTTACAAAGACAACTTGTACTCTTTCTATACATATTTTATTTCTCTTGGAAACCCCTTCCTATTACACTGTAGGTCTTCTGGAACCAAATGTAAATACAGTTTCTCCCTTCATTTGCTCTCATTCATGCTCATATTGCTGTAACAGAGGTATTCTACTGTGGTATTCACTTTCCATAACAAGACCCATTATATCTCTGGTGTTCCTGCTTGTTCGCATAACTCTAATTCCATTGTACTATTATAATTAATTATACTGTATTTTCTTTCTGGGCTTAATTATTTATTGATTTAGTTGTGTACTTAATTGTCTTTCTTTTATCAGTAAGAACTATTTTTTTTCACTTCCAGGTTCATCAAGCAATTTAATTTGCATGATGATTTTATTCTTTTTAGGGTTTCAATATAAACGAATTACCTTTTGTCTCTTCACAGGCACTTCAAGAGTTTTATCCCTAACACTGGAATACTACAGTGCAACATATGCCATGAGGGAAGTTAAGAGCCATGTGCTAGTGGTAGTTCACACCCATCTGGCTGCACTACCCTGGCACCACTTGCATCCCTCTCTTCAGGACACCCTCATCTTCTCCAAGGTATGATTGTCACCTTCCACTTCTGGAATGCCCTATTGTTAAAGCCTCACAACACCACTTGTACAGAGCTGGTACTGTATTACTATTTTTCAGAAGACTCATCACCAAATGACTGTAAAATTTTATAATTACAAGAACTTGTATGTGTGTGATGAAATTTTGAGTTTTTATCCTTCAATAAATCACTTACTAGAATCAGCATATTCATCTAGTCATTAATACTAGCATGAAAATAGGAAATCTTGGCTATTATTAAATATGGCTTTTACTTGTAATGTGATGTACATTTAGGGATCTGTTGCCAGCTCATGGTTTTGTTGGTTTATAAACAAACCAAATTTCCCCTTTATAACCTTATAAATAGTGTATGGTTCTCTTAAGCCAGTGGTTCCCAAACTTTTTTCTATGCAACCCTAATCGTGCACCTCAAGCCATGACCGCGACCTCACCGGTCAGATCAGGCACATTTTTTCCTGGGGTGGAAAGGAAAAGGATGCATTGTTGAAAATGGTGTACTAGAAGAGACAAGTATAATTGATAATTTTATTTACCTTTTATTGTACAATGTACTACACAAAATGCTGCAACCTAGAAAGACAAAAATGTCATGGTTCCATTTTATTCTAATAATTAATTATTTTCCATTGACACAAAGACAAACAAAAATTTAACAAAACTTTTAACAAAAACAAAACTTCGAATAGAAACATCGAATTCAAAGTTAAGGTGGAATCAAATAACTTTCTGACTTTTCCACAAAGACCAACATGCTTTTTTATTTGTACTGTATTTTCAAATGTAAAGTAGTTTATGATGTCATTAATAAGTTCACTTGAGAGTGGAAAGTTATTCATAGAACAGGGACAATTTAGGTGGAAAGATAAGAAAGGGAAATGTAAACAAAAGGTGAAGGCAGAGATCTTGAACATCAGCCTTTCAAAAAACTCCTATGGTGATTCCAGGTGGTTGAGCAGTACCTACCAGAGTGTCACAGTTTCATCGGTGGTTTGCTCATACAAATCAGCTGGAGTAAGGTGCTACAGGCAGCTCTCAACTACCACACAGCTGCTAACTGCACCCAACTTCCAGATTCCCCTCAGTAAGAAGTTGATTTAGTAGAAGCCTGGACACTTTTATTTAATTCAAATTTTGGATAATATGCCCATATTATTTTATAGGGAACTCATATAAAAAGAAATATTACCAAATAGGTCTGTGCAAAGGAAGTTAGTACAGGTTGACAATCCCTTATCCAAAATCCTTGGGGCCAGAGGGATTTCGGAATTTTTCGGTTTTCAGAATTTTTTTTTTTTTTTTTTTTTTATTAGCCCACCCAGGCACAAGTCACTGACCCACATTGGGGTCTGGGGGGGGGATATAATTATAATAATAATAATAATAATTCATTGGTCTAGGTCGTGTTTCTCACTTTTTATCTTTTTTCATTCATGTATTTCTTTATTATTATTATTATTATTATTATTATTATTATTATTATTATTATTATTATTATTATCATCATTATTATTTTATTTTGGTGTATTTTTTAATTAAAAATTTTATTTACTATGAATAATTATTATTATTATAATTATTATTATTATAATTAATATTACTATTACATTTTCGCTCCCCAGGCCCCAATGTGGGTCAGTGATCTATGTCTGGGTGGGCTAATCCCTGTTAAAAAAAATAATAAAAAAAATAAAAATAAAATAAAATAGATAAAAAATTAAAAATTGCTCCACAAAAAACTTTCGGTTTTCGGAATTTCAGATAAAGGGTTGTCAACCTGTAACAGTGTTTTAAGAAATTACTAAAAAACCTGAAAAGAATTCAGATTTGAAATAGCACTGTGAGGATTGAGCAAATGGGGGATAAAGTGTGATTTAAGTCATGATGTGAATTTTCATGTGGGGGGGGGGGAGAGGTAAGGGTAGGTCAAGAATGACATGGGGAGAGTGTGAGAAATTGCCTCTGAGATAAACTTACAATAAGAGAGGCTGCAAGAGACCTTCCAACCTGGAGAGCTGCTATTAGGTATCATGGCTAACCCACAGAAGTGTGGAAAATGGATGTAAAACATTGATGATAGCTATAGCAGTGTTTCAATGAACAATGTTAAATGCATAGTTGAAGCAAGGGTTTCCTTGAATGTGCTGAATTCTAGGAAAATTTACTGATTTAGAAAGAAGTGGGAGATGCACTATATGAATATACAGTATGTATATTAATACCCTTTGAAATCTGTTTGGAGAAATGTTTACAAGTTATACTTAACTATATGAATATATAGTAATGCCCTTTGACACTTGTCTGGATAAGTATTTGCGAGATTTACTTAATACATAGCATTAAATGACTCCAACAAGTCTTTTTTATTTGCAGTAGCAAAGTCAGCAAGCAACATGAAAATTCTACCCATGGAGGAAGTCTTGACCCAGCTCTTGTTGCAAGTAAATTGCACACATGTCTTCTTAATCTCCTAGTGAGGATATCAATGGAACCCAGTGTTAGACAGGTGAGTTTAAACATCACTTGTGTCTTTTGATCTGTTATCTTTTAATATGAATTATTTTCATTGATTTTTTTAATTTACCAGAGGCATTCACAAAATATATAGTGCAGTATGTACTTTTTATTTTTATTTTATTTATTTTTTGCTATGAAATTCACTTCTGTCAAACTTTCTATCTTAGTTCCCTCAAGGCTCCCTCATCTGTATAACTTTCTTCACTAATAGTGTTTGAGAGTAACAATGCTAAAACCACAGCAAAGGAAGCCTTGTTTTTCTCTTCCGATTAGAGGTACTTATTTCCTTATCCAGCAGTCACACACCCAAATTGTTATGGTGCCCCTAAAACAGCCGACTTACTAAGTAAAGAGCAGACTTACTCATTTCTGCCATGGACTCTAAAGCTTTGTGTCTTGGATACAATCAAGGATTCCCTCCTGTATAAATGTGAAATATTAAGTAGAGAGAATTCTTTTTTACATCATTACTTTGTAAATAATTCTTTAAAGTCAGTTTATAGAACCTCTGACTTAAAGATCCTTTAGATCACATCCCCTGTTTATCCTAAGAGAAAATTTGAGAAAGGGGATAATTTATCAGCAAAATAACTGACATTCTTTTCTATCTTTCATTTTTTACTCTGAATAACAAAGATATACTGTATAGACAAATCTGATGTGCTGAAGGACACTGACATGTGTATTACCAGAGTTTCCTGCTGATGGTAAAGGATTGGACTTAATTATCTAAAGAATATTATTGGACAAAGGAAGGCTATAGGTAGGAGAATAAATTGTGATGAAGTTTACCTTCATGATTATTATAAAGTATTGGCCAGTAGGGTTAAGACAAAGATAAGAAAAGCAAAGAGGAATAATGAACTGAAAGTTGCAAGGGAGGCAAAGTAAAACCCGAAGGCATTCTTCCAAATGTATCAAACTAAAACACGAGACAAGATTGGACCAATATAGTCAGATACCGGCATGCTAACTGATAATGACAGAGAAATGAGCAATAATTTGAACAGATATTTTTCAACTGTTTTCACCTCAATTTAAACATGATACCCGAGGCACCGACTAAATACAGAGAGAGTGAAGAAAATAGATTAAGCGAGATAGTAATGACTAGTAAAGATATTAATAAACAAATAGACAAACTAAAGCCTAATAAGTCACTTGGTCCCGATGAGATATTTGCCAGAGTATTAAAGGAATGTAAGGAAGAGCTTAGTATGCCCTTAGCAAATTTGTTTAACATGTCATTAAAAACAGGTGGAGTACCAGAATCGTGATGAATAGCGAATGTGATACTGATTTTCAAGAAGGGAGATAGATCACTATCATCTGACTACCGTCCAATCAGTTTAACATCAGTTGTAGGCAAATTGCTGGAAGCAATAATTTCAAACTATTTGAAATCACCTCGAGAAGCACAAGATGATCAATGATTCCCAACATGGCTTCACAAGTGGGCGTTCATGTCCGACAAATATATTAACATTCTGTTCAACTGTTTTCTAATTGGTGGATGACGGACACTATAATGATGTGGTATACCTCAACTTTAGCAAAGACATTAACAGAGTCCTCCCACGAAAGACTAATATGAAAAGTGGAGGCTCATGGGGTTGGAGGAGATATTCTAAAATGGATTAGGGCGTGGTTACAGTACAGGAAACAGCAGTTAAGCATTAACGGAACTAAATCCGATTGGGGTAACATCACTAGTAGAGTACCCCAAGGCTCAGTCCTTGGACCATTTCAATTTGTTATACTATATATAAACGACATAGATATAGGCGTAGACAGCAACTTAAGTAAATTTGCTGACAACACTAAATTAGGGTGTATAATTAAATCTGACGAGGACTCCGCAAAACTACAGGAAGATATAAACACATTTTTTGCATGGTCTGAAAAATGTTAGGTGAAATTCAATGTCGACAAATGTAGTCTTGGAGATATAAACAGAGAAACCAGATATCAGATGAACAGCATTGTTATAGAGAAATCTGACTGAGAGAAAGATTTAGGAGTAATGATAAGTAGGAATCTTAAACCAAGACAACAATGTGTATTTGCTCAAAACAAGGCTGACAAAGTACTTGGGTTCATACAAAGGAGTGTTAGTTACAAGACTATCAAGGTCATCCTAAAACTATATCTTTTGCTTGTGAGACCTCACTTGGATTACGTGGTTCAGTTTTGGTCACTGAACTACAGAATGGATATCGAATCCCTAGAAAGCATTCAGAGGAGAATGACAAGACTAATCCTGGGCATTAGGAACCTTGAATACAGAGGCAGATTAAAGCATCTTAATTTTCACTCCCTCGAGAGACGTAGAGTGAGGGGCGATATGATCGAGGTGTATAAATGGAAGTCGGGGTTAAACAAAGGTGATATAACAAAGGTACTCAAAATATCCAACCAGGAGCGAAATTAGACAAATTTATAGTTAGGCGTGAGATAGGTAAACGTTGGTTTGGAAATAGAGTAGTGGATGAGTTGAACAAGTTACCAAACATTATCATTAACTCGAATACACTGGATAGCTTCAAACATAGGTTGGATGGATATGTGATTGATGAGGGTTGGGTGTAAACGGAGCTGCCAAGTATGGGCCAATATGCCCGCTGCAGTTTCCTCCATTCTTGTGTTCTTATGTTTCTTTGGCTAGAAGTCATCTCTAGGACTATTCATAAAATTGACCTTGATGCTGATAAGACTCCCTAAGGAGTCAGCTAATCTGGTGTCCAGCTGGTTAATGTAAACTTCAGATATTAAGTCTGCTGTATAAACAGTAACTTCTCACCAAGTTTGGTTATCTCACCTCATACTAAATGATATTAAAAGTTTTGATTTGGGTGACTGAATTTGCACATGGTGGACAAATTGCACTTTACATCTCAGTTTATTGAATTCTAATGACATGCCTTTGCTTGAGGAGTGTAATCCTGTGGGGTGGGGATTTGGGATAATCTTCTTGATGACAGTATTCAGGATCAGGTCTGGGGACCACTGACCTGATCCTGTACAAAGAAATAAAAGAAAACAGGTCACATGATTAGTCTCTTGAGTTGGGGTAGGGTGGGGGTTTGTGATAATTCTTTTGGTGACATTATTCAGAATCAAGTCCAGGGTTCACTGACCTGACCCTGAATACTGTCATCAAGAAGATTATCCCCACTCTACCTCAACTCAGGAGACAGGTCAGGTGACATGGTTACTTTCTTTCATGTTTTTCTCTTTTGCTTTGTTCTCTTAGTTGGCTGAAGAGGGTTCTAGTATACCAGCTCCAAGATTTTGGCTTTTGTTTCTCCAATGTGGGTTTTTACTTCATTTACCAGTGTGACCATTACGCTTTCGGATTATCATCTACATATTATCAGCTCACCTCACAATATAAATGTTTCCTGTATTTATTATTACTGTTTATTATTTGCTTTGTTATTACTGTTTGTACATTAAAAAATATATATTTGTTTGCACAGCACAAATTATAAATAGAATATTTATGTGTTAGCTAAGGTAATTTTTTGGAACCGCTCGGTTATTTCAGATTCATTTTGAATTTAAATAATTTTCTTCATATTTTAAAATACATACGAATTAAGCTCAAACCCGAATTAACGAGCATACAGTGTATATACATACAGTGGGGTATGCTATAACGAACGGATCCTACTACGAATATTCCTATAACGAACGGCTTTACCTATAAAATTGAGAATGCTATAACGAACGCAACTCCTACAACGAACGCGGATGAATACGGGACTATTTCGCCTGGCGCATGAATATTGTTGTACCGGGACCCACAACAAGAGCATCAGGTGCCATCTTTGTCTCATTGTGTAGCCAGTGCACCACTGTTATTGTTGAAATTTCGTCTTTTGATGTGGAAATTCGCGTTATTTGTATAACTATTTTGTTATACAAGTATACAATTGTAACAATGAGTCGTCCAAAGCGAGTGAGAAAGCTAATAACCCTTGAAACTAAGAAAGAAATTATAAAGAAACGTGAGAATGGAAGAAGCATTGCGAAACTTAGTGATGAATATGGGATGGCTAAATCGACTATATGTACGATTTTGAAGAATAAAGAGGAGTTAAAAACTGTGCAAGTGGCTAAGGGAATCTTTAGACTTAGCAAAGCAAGGTGTAATGTGATCGAAGAGATGGAAAATTTACTCTTAGTGTGGATAAAGGAGAAAGAAATGGCAGGTGGTAACATTAGTGAAGCTATAATTTGTGAGAAGGCTAAACAATTGTTTGAGGACCTTAAAGCCAAGACTCCCAGTGGAAGTGATAGTGATGTGCCAGTGTTTAGGGGTACCTGCATGCTGAATAACACTAAGGTAAGATAAAGTACCGTATTTTTTACATTTTCCACAGAATTTTTTCAGTGTTAAGCGGTTGTATTTGGGGGCCTGGAACGGATTAATCCTATAACGAACGAATGCTATAACGAACGAGGTTCTGGAACCAATTACGTTCGTTATAGCATACCCCACTGTAGTATATTATACAACTACAGTACTATATGATAGCAATTTGGAATCAATCAACATTGTATTGTAATACGGTATGTGGTTAACATTCTTACTGAATAGTATTCACAGAAATCAGTGATCCATTCATTCACATTGTGTATGCACTATCTTTCTTTTCAGTCTGCTTTGCTGCAAACATTGCTACTTGAAGCAGATATGTTCTCGTGGTGGTTAGTAGATGGCGACAGCTTCCAGCGTGTTGTTAACTGGTGGGTCATGAGCTGTGACCCACGGATAGTCCTCACTCTACCAGAACGCAACCCTGTTGATATCGCCATCATACAGTAAGTACCATTCATTTAAAAAAAATATAATTTTCATAAGGTGATAAGTAGATGTACGTAGATCCACAACTTTGTGACAATATTGTTGAGGTAAGGCTTATTCTGTTTGCTATTGATTTACACACTTCCCTAAGTATTCATGGGGATGCATTCTCAAAATGGTCACAAATATTAAAATACATGAATGACATTACAGTAAAGCCTCGAATAATGACGTTAACAAGTCCTCCAATATTGCAGTATAAGGTGAATCGTCTTATTGGGGGGGGGGGGTTGCTGGCCATAGACCGAAGCCCAGAGGTTAATACCTCACTATTCGCATCTCCGCTTATTCGCAATTCATATTTTAACACCCATATTCGATATTTGCAAAGCATACCTCTTTTATCCGCAAAGCGAATTAGAAAAATAATTATGATACGCTACAGTCAATTTATTTCAAACCACATAGGCTAACTCCAGCACTCTTATTCCACTGTCAGAAGTAGTGCTTGGTAGAGATGCCAGGTCGGATGCGGTTACCAGCTATGGAATGCTGCAATTAATGTTTCACTTTAATGTTCGTTAATTATATCAGTATAGATTAATGGAATATTTCTGATGGTTATCATTATAATTTGATTTATTTTAGACGTGATAAAGGTTTAAAGTGCATCAGTGTGCTATTGCATTTATCGTGCGTGTGTTACGGGGTTTAGTGGTAGGAGTCCGTACGTGTTTTCATAATGGAGTTTTGTTTTGTATGTACGATGATATTTAACCTTCTAGGTGTGGTGGAGTATCTCTACACAAGCAAAATGAGGAACATTGGCTGGAGGTGTGTGGCATCTCTGGTACTTGGTGGCTCAAGCTGCACAATTATGTGTTTTTGCTGTGTATAGTACAGTGGTCCCTCGGTTAACGAACACAATTCGTTCCACAGAGTCATTCGTTAACCGAAAAATTCATTAACTGAATCCATTGATTCAGTGGGATATTGTGTAATTGGTTCCAGCTCACCGAAAAGTACATACAAAGTATAAAAAAAAAAAATGCAGTAAAGTACACTTACCCCCCTATACTTTGAGGTGTGTATGTAGAAGGTTCCTGGTTGATGATGATGATGGGAATTAGAAGTGGGATGGAGGAGAAGGGAGAAGAAAAGGAAGTGGGGATGGAGGAGATATCACCTCTCAGGGGACCCATGCTTGATGCCGTCATTTCACCAATAAAATTTTAAGTTTACTAGGTGTAATTCAAATTATTTGAGTTAAATCAACACTGCACTGCACTATATATTATCAATATGTAAACTAAATTTCAGAATGACCAATAATTTCAATGTAAAAATGCAAAAATATTCAAGATAACCAACAAAATAGATGTTCACTCCACTGTCAACAAAGCCAAACTGACGCCTGGTGGCTGAGTCAAGCGGCTGATGGGCGCACAAAAAACTAGTTCCCTGTACTGCATATATTATCAATATGTTAACTAAATTTTAAAATGACTAATAATTTTAATATAAAAAATGCCAAAAAAAATTTTTATTACAACTTTCTTTATATTTACTCCACTGGAAACGAATGTAAACATAGAACAGATTACTGCATTGGCAGACTAGCCCATCAGCTGATGCTCACAACAAAACACGTTATATGTAAGGATTTCGTTAATCGAAGTTTTGTTCGTTAACCGTATTGAAGATCCTTTCTGGGAGGTAATTTGTTAACCGAAATTTCGTTAATCGAATTGTTCGTTAACCGAGGGACCACTGTACTGTATTCATATGGCGGGCCACATGAAAGAATTATCTCTCTGCTTTGATTTTTTGCATTGTGTGGTAGTGTCGATATTGTATTGCAAATGTTTTCAAGTATGACGATCATCCAGCTATGATACAATGATATGAGTTATTAAGGATGTCACCTAGGTTGGTCAGTTCTGAGGTGACTAAAGAGGCCGATACGTAACCTGCAGGGTCGATCACAGATATTGCACATGTGGGGGTCTACATCTAGTGAGGGAGGGGCGGCAGCAACGTCTTTTCGGCATTGGCACTTGTCTGCCTCGATATGCAGTTGGGCTAACTCAAAAGTATTGACACCTTCTTGTGTGGTGCTCCTCCAAGCGTTACAGTGTGGAGTAATTGTCTCCTAGGTGAGGGGGTTTGATTTGGCCCTTTTCAGGTTTGTCTTAAGACTGTCCTTATACCTTTTCAGTTACCTGCCAACGTTGCATTTACTATTTATTAGGTGACTGTAAGTTAACTGCTTTGGCAGTCTACTGCCGTCCATGCAGGTAACCTGGCCAGTCCAGCGTAGTTGTTCATGAATAATGGTAACCTCGATGCTTCTATAGTTGGTGTCAGCAAGAATACTGGCATTTGTTCTCTGCCTCCTGTATGTGACCCATGTCTCGCTTCCATATAGCAGGCTGGGAAGGACCACTGTTCCGTATACATGTAACTTTGTAGGTAATTTCAGCTCCCTACAGCTGAAGACACGGTTTCGGAGTCTGCCAAAGGCTTGGGATGCACATCTGACCCAATGCTGAATCTCTTCATCGATGTCCGCGGTGGTGGACAGGTGGGAGCCGAGATACCAAAAGTGGGTAACATTAGAGAGGGTAGTACCGTTAAGCTGGATGGATGGTGGAGATGTGTCTGAACCTGGGGCAGGCTGAAAGAGAATCTGAGTCTTACGCCCCATTGCCCTAACTTCATCCCTCTCTAAGATTTTCGAAACTATCTTGAACTCCCATTTTCTCCGTCACCTTGAACGCCTTTCTCTTTTGTCGGATCACCAGTATGGCTTTCGCCAGGCGAGATCTACTGGTGATCTGCTCTCCTATTGCACCCATCTTTGGTCATCCTCTCTTAGGGATTATGGGGAAACTTTTGTCGTGGCCCTCGACATCTCCAAAGCATTTGACAGGGTATGGCACAAGTCTTTGCTATCTAAACTTCCCTCTTTTGGTTTCTCTCCCCCACTTTGTTCTCTCATCTCTAGCTTCCTTGAGAATCGATCCATGGCAGTTGTTGTCGAGGGATCGATTTCTGCTCTTTCTCTACCAATAGTGGCGTCCCACAGGGTTCTGTTCTTTCACCAACTCTCTTCCTTCTTTTTATCAATGATTTACTTCACACTACAACTAATTCTATCCATTCTTACGCCGATGATTCTACTCTTCACTCTTCCTCACATTTTCCCCTTCCTCCTAACTCAAACTAGATCTGTTTCTAGAACTGATATCATTACTTCTATCAACGCAGATCTGTGCAGCATCTCTGAATGGGGAGATACAAACTTGGTTAAGTTCAATAGTAACAAAAGTCAATATTTACCAATTACACTTTGTAAATTAGACGATTTCCCACCAATTACATTTCAGGACGCTATCATCCTCCCAAATTCTGAAATAAATATGTTAGGCCTCACCATTTCCTCCAATATGTCCTGGAAATCACACATCCTTAGTATAACTAAAGCTGCCTCCCAAAAGTTGGGAATGCTTTCTTTTCTTTAAGGGCATTAGCCCACCCGGGGTGGCTCTTCTTCTGTCCAACTATTAGATAGGGTGGAATCAAAGGCATTTCGTCTTATTAACTCTCCTCCTTTAGTCAACAATCTCTCTCCCCTTTCTCTTCGCCGCAATGTTGCTTCACTCTCTCTTTTTTACAGGTACGTTAACGGGCAATGTTCAGTAGATTTGGCATCCTGTGTACAGCCGGCAAGGCCGTGGGTTCGTAACACACGTCTTGCCCGCAGTGCCCACCATTTCTCTGTGGATGTCGGTCACATGAGAATAACCCGCTATAGTACCTCCTTCTTTCCTCACACAGCCAAACTGTGGAATGCTCTGCCTTCTTCTGTGTTTCCTTGCTCTTACAATCTGTCTCACTTTAAAAAGCTGGTTTTCCGGCATCTTCGTGGTGTAGATTAATACAGTATAACCTTTTTTTTTCTATATTTTCAATTTCTTTCCATTCTTTTTTTTTTTCGCCCCCCAGGCTCCGTTGTGGGTCGTTTGACCTGTGCCCCGGGTGGGCTAATTCCCATAAAAAAAAAAAAACACATTCACCTCAAGGCCGAAGTGTGCATATGCATCTGCGTAGGTGTTCAGGATCTCCTGTAGGTCACTTTCAGTGTGAGCAACAAGAGTGAGGTCGTCTGTGTTCAGAAGCTCAGTAATGGAAGCTGCCGACACCTTTGTTCATACCTGGAGTCGTCTTATGTTGAAAAGACCCTTCATCCGGTACTCAATGTCCATCCTGCCGGCTAAATTGGCACTGGCACGAGTAAGGAAGGACAGCCAAGAAAATGGAAAAGAGAGCTGGTGCCAGTACATACCCTTGTTTAACCCCCGTTTGGATGGGGAAGAACTCAGACTGGGTGCCATTGTGCAGGACAAAATGGTATAAGGGTTCTGAGGATGATGAGAGGTATGATGAGCTGGATGATGGCTGCGTGTGAGTTAATTTGTGGTGAGGCAGGAACGCAGGCTGCAACCACACATCTTGGCTCTCCCTTTTCCTGATCCACTGGTGCAAGTGTTGCAATGATTGGGGAGAGGGAGAGTTGCAATGGACTGCCGATAATCCAGTTTGTTGGGTTTCGCCTTCATAGCCTGCCCATCAGGCATTGCCTTCATCTGCCGGTGTAGTCGTTAGGTTCCCATGGTGGTCACCTCTTCCGCCTATACAGTACCGCCGTTGGGGTCTTGTTGGAGCTCTGTAAGTATGTCTACCTGATGCGGGGCTCCTACGCAGATTTTTCGTTTGGGGTTAATTCCCATAGCCTTATACCTACCAAGGTTAATCCGCAAGGCAGCGGGACAATGGTTGGTAGGCGTCAGGATGTGTCCACATGCCAGTGGGCCTATGTGCTGTCCCTCTGGGGCCCACTGCTACTCTGAGATCCCCTGCTGGTCTAGCCTGGGCCCACGAGGCACCCAGTTATCATGTGTTGCCATGAGGAGGCACAGCAGGAGTCTTGATGGTGAAGAGGCTGTGTACTGGTAGGGGAAGACCTATGCAAGTTGTTTCCCTGTTCGCCACAGGGGCTAGCCAGCGGCGGCAGCTGAAAGCGAGAGGGAGCAAGCAGTGCTTGCACCTTAACACTAACATAATGCTGCCATTCTAGATGCATTACACCAACCTGTGCACACACACACACACACACATGACATCATTACATCCGAGTACCTGAGTAAATGTAGTGACCTAGCAGATCATGAAGAAGATTAAGAACCATACTACAGTATATGACACTTTTGTAATTGAAGAAAAGGGCAATACTGTATATTTGTAGATAAAAAAGAATATTTTGTAGTTTAAAAAATGTAAAGAGCAATATTATATACATAGTTATGACTATTGAATGAGAACATGAAATACCAAAACTCGTTGGTTGGTCGAAACTACAAATTGACCGACTTTTGTATTTGCATAAAAATCAATACTGTATACTGTATTCTAATTATGAAATAATAACACTTGCCATACTAATTATAAAAGCAAAATACCCTACTTGTAATATTATGGTGCATTCGGTCTGGTGCATTCAGTCCAGGATAGTGGTGCATTCAGGCAATGGTGCACTTAGACCAAGTACCCATGAACTGTATCATCCATTATTAAAAGAACACAACATTAACAGCCTCACTCATTGTTCTGTTTTCACAAGGAATGAGGGAACAATATTGTCACTTGTCCATCAGAGAGTGGAGAGCTCAGGTTAGGATTATTATAAAAGTAAGTGAGAGTTAATATAACCTAATTTATTTTTAAAGTAATTCACCGGATAACATTTGCTTATATCTCGTGCTCCTGTTCTACCTATTTATCCATATATATATATTCTCAGTAAGATGCAGGGATTAACACTCATGTACTGTACTAAGATAACTGCCTAGCTGACTCTTATCACTGCCACCCAATGGCACTTCAATTCCTCTCCCTGAACACATCCAGCTTAAACTGAAGTCCTTATTCCTTAGAGCTGACCTATTATTCAGTCACTAGGGTTTTTTCAAATCACATAGGCCTTCCCTCTGCATTGTGAATGGTCACACAGTATTGTGGGTGGGGTTAGTGTCGTGACACTGAGCACCAAAAGACACAGTGGGTTGCCTATCTGGAAAGAGGATGTTTGGCATCACCAATCATATAGCAATTATGTTCAACAGGAGTTGTAAACACCAGACCACTTCTTTCCTGTGAGAAAATTTATGTTATGGGCATGGGTGGACAGGCCTTTGTTACAGTAGACCCAGCTTTTATATGTGTGTTCTCTGGCCTTACGCTTATTATCTCGGTGTCAAAAAAAAAAAATCTTTGGAAATATATTGTTGATACACACACATTTATGTATGAAAACCTTGTAGAATATAAGAACTTCATTTCCATAATTACATTGCTAGGGGAGGGAGGGTACCAAGGCCAGGTGTGGTGTCAGGGAAGACTGCTCCATTTCACTGATTTGTAATATTTTTTTTAATACCTGTACCTGCACATTGTACTGTATAATATTTTCATAGTGTAATATTTTTTTTAATCCTCTAGCTATGGGGGGGTTTCTCTGTGCCGAATAAAAGTATCTGGCATTAGCCAATTAAAATATTAAATGTGGCATCCCAAATTGAAGGGGTAAAGAAAAGCATACACATGTTACTTGTTTTTAACCTTGAGCTGTACATTATAGAATTTTAGATGTTTCTCTCATTGGTCTTTTCCACAAACCCCGTATTTCTTATTAGACTCAGCCCTTGTCAACCACAGTTTTGCCAGCTTGGGATTATTGTCCAGTATGTGATTTCTACTTTTTCTTTTTCACTCCCCCAAAATAAGAGCACAAGAAAATTGATTGGTAGACATTTTAATGAATGTTTGTTGATTTTTAAGGCTTAGACAAAACAGAAAAGTATTTTGTGGACAGTTTATTGTGGTATTAAGGTGGTGAACATTTGATGTGAAAATAGACTCGTAGTTTCATGAAGCAGGAACATCTTGGATGACAGTGGTCATAGGTTCTCTTTGGGTTGTTTGCTCCAAGTTGTATCTTTGGAAAGGACAGTACAACTTACAGTACAGTATACTTGATTTAATAGGTTGAGTACAGTATTACCTATGGCTAGCTGTTCAAAGGAAATAAAAAATAAAACTCACGATCTTTTCACTTGAAAAGAACTTGATTAAAATTTAGTCTGCAGTAATATTTTTTTTTAAATTAACATCTGTCCACTCACTCTGCATCATGACAGGAAAAAGCATGAAAAAATTACAATTATTGATTTCATAATTAATGTATTACACTACAGTACACTACAATGCACTATATACTATGTATTATGATTATTTACGTACTTGCCATGCATTGAAAAATATTTATTGTGGATCATATTGAAGAGATATCCCACAAGTCCAACACCAATAAGAAAGGCGACCACCATCACTAGAGCTGTGTAAACTCCTGTGAATGTACAAGTTACACTATTATAGTTATTGCCTTTAAAATTTTGAATTATAACTTGCTTTTTGAATGTATAAAACTGTTGATTACCTGAAAAGTAAATTTGATGCAGTCTCCAATTTTTTTTTTTTTTTAATAATACTGTATGTGTGGTATATCATATGGGCATGTGTATTATGTATGGTACTGTATATCATATTGGCATGTGTATTATGTGTGGTATATCATATTGGCATGTGTATTATGTGTGGTATATCATATTGGCATGTGTATTATGTATGGTACTGTATATCATATTGGCATGTGTATTATGTGTGGTATATCATATTGGCATGTGTATTATGTGTGGTATATCATATTGGCATGTGTATTATGTGTGGTATATCATATTGGCATGTGTATGCTGTGAACAAATTGTGTAGTAGTAAGGGACCATATTCATAAATAATTACCTGTGATATTATCAACAACAGGCATTGTCCTGACCAGGTAACACTCGCTTTTTACTACGTATGCTGCCTGCAGTTCCTGTTGTTGTTCTTCAGAAGATACACATAACTCATATTTGGTATCAGCAGAAAGTTCCTCAACCTAGAAATGGTTACTAAGCTTTTATATTGTTTCAGTTTTATTTTCCAAAAATGATTTAGTCACAGCAAGCATTAATTTAAGTTAGTTTTTTAAAATATATTTTGTTGTAAAGTCTATGCAGCAGAACTATTACATGGAATATGGCTGTATCTGATATACTGTACTGTATTTCATTAATGGTTTCATACTGTGTGCAGTCTATGTTGTAGTAAGGCGTTGGTCTTGTCATCACTTGTAGAATTTTGGACAGTTTCAGGAGTTAACAAATCATTCATTAAAACACTGCTGTCGTTCTCTCTGCGCACTGACACCAAAACCTGGAATTCATTGATAACTGTACAGAGCTCTCTTGTTTTTCGTGTATTTTTTATTTACATTTTCGACTGCGGATTTTCATCAAAAATATATTTTCATTGCAACAGGTATTCCCTACATAACATCCACAAAACTGATGAGTCTACCTCAGCCTATCATGTTGCCACACAAGGTTATCCACATGAATTTGATGAGTTGATCAGTGAGAAGGAAGTGAGACTCGGTGGGTGAATGGAAGTCGACCTTTTTGGGGGGTAAAGTAACTGCTTGGGGATTTTGGAGGGTAAAAGGGTCGCCTTCAATATCTGTTAGGCAGAGAGGGAGTGCTCAAGTGTTTGTTTGCATACAAATGCTACATTATGTATGACAACGTGAATATTTACGTATGACTCTTGATCTCAAGACAAAACGTTCATTTACTTAGTAGGACTATTTATATCATAGAACTATATACAAACTAATGAAATCGACACAAAATACCACTCTTTCGCGGTAATATCGGGAACGTAACCCCGCAAAAAATGAGGGACCATTGTTGAAAACTAGAACTCAAAAACATGGTACATAAACTTGAGTATTAAGTATCATAAAATATTCATTCTTAACTAAAAATGGTTTCTAAGGTGCAGTAAAGTATGTCAACTGAAAAGTTTGAAAGTAACAGGCTTCCCTTAAACTGGATAATTTCATAAAGTGGATACTGTACTATTACAAACATATTTCCAAGAAAAGCTTGCATTAATCCTTATCTACTTGTGTATTTCTGCAAATACCAATAATTTAATGTACGTTCAATGTTCTCTGACACTCTCAATGTCATTAAAGTTACAGGTAAGCTTGCAATAACAATAAAACTTTCTTCTCAAACCATGTGAAGACAAGTAAACTCATCACTCACTGAACCAGTTACCTGAAAGTTTAATTTCTCCCCATTTACACTCTTGTAATATGTGGAATACCTGTATTATTTTTTTTAATTCCATATTTTTTTATTTCATATTTAGAATACTCATATTTTTTATATAATAGATTAGAGTACAGTATTTCATAAATTAGAGTTTCAGTTGACAGATACAGTATTGCACAGTACTTTACTGAACTACACTATATACTTAGATTTTCTTTAAGCTTACCAACATGAAGATAAGTACATCTCACTGAGACTTTATTTCCTTGTTTGATTATACAGGTACAGTACAAATAATTCATAAGTAATTTTATAGGTATAAATCCTATTGACTATTCACAGAACTCAGGCCGATTTTTACACTACAGTAGTACCCTGATTTACGCGGTCAATTGAACCCACAGGGTACCGTGGAAAGTGAAAACCGCGTAAAGTGAACAACAGAACATATGGGATAAATTCCAATAGAGACTGGCCTGACCCCCAAACTCCACTTTTTCCGACACAATACCTATGTTGTAGTAAAAATAACATCTTAATTTTATGATGGTATGCACACACAATTAATATTTAAGAGAAATACAGTCGCCAGGTTAATGTCCATTCAAATAATGGACTCGACTCCCCCCCCCCTCCCTCTTCCCAGCTCACTGGTTTCTACCTCTGAGAAATGTTTGGGTGAAAACACTATATTTTAATGTATAGTAATAAATAATACCTCAGACTAAAGTTAGTATAATTGACATTTCTGGATTCATTGCAGGTCAGGGAATATTTTGAATGTAAACTTCATATATTTTGCACAAAAGAAAAAATATTTGCTTTGTGTAAACCAAATTATTACATTAGATCTAAAATTTGTATGTCCAATGCAAAATCCATGATGTTTATATTCAAAATGATCATCATATTGTAAGAATTCCAGCAATGTAAATTATATTCTGGCCGGGTAATTTGTATGAATTTTATGAGCTAAATAAAAAAAAAAATTATACTTCACGCGTATATGAGTAGATGCACAGCGGAAAGTGAAAGTCTGGTTCTGGCAAGGTACCATTTAGTGTAAATGAGAAACTGTGTACTGTATCTTCAGAGTCTCTACCCATGCTCCCCCCCCCTACCCACACTATTCATAGAGGTTACAATACTATCCACACAAGCTAACTATCCCTCACTCAAGGACAATATGTGGGTCATCTTAGTTTAACAACCAGACTAACTTAATTTAACTGTTGTAAATCATCTTTTAACAATACTAAATAATACTATACGGGTCTAATCCTACTCTGTCAATCCTTAATAAAATATCTTACAGTCTGAATCCTCTGGAAAAACTTCATATTGTTTAAATAACTTCAATCCTGAAAAAGGTAAAAATGCAGCTTACAGTATATAGAAGTGAAGAAAGAGTACCTTTAGTTTTAGATAGAGTATAGTATTACAAGTCTCTGAATTGATTCTGTGAAAACAGAAGGGATTGAAACAAAAAAGTTTTTAATTACAAACAATACTTTTTATCACCATGTCTTATACAAAACATAAAACTTGGTAATATTGCAAATTATCATTATACAATACAGCTGTACTGTAAATTCCTTAGTTTCAAATCCTTCATATAAAGTGATAAATTTATTGATTTTATGACTGAATGAAGTACAGTACTGTACAGTATCTTAATAATATGAAACCAACAAAAAATTCATTTGCATGGGATTTGATTGTTGGATTGTGATGAACTGATTTAATGTTGTAGCTTTAAATCACTGGTGAAGCCAAAGATTTTTGGTGGTGGAAGGTGGGTTCGTTATTAAGCACTGACAGTGACTGCACTGTACCAAATTTAAGGATTCTGTGCTAATACACAGGTTGAATCTCATGTCAGTAATGATAAAAGAACACTAAGTAATGCAAGTAAAAGAACCAGACATATTGTTACATTACATACCTTGTAATTTGTCAGGTTTTGAATAGCTAGAGAGATGGTGATAGCATGTGACACTGCCCATAATTCCTCAATGGACAGCTTTGAGGTCCCTGGGAGTAATGCTGTGTCTGCAGACTCCAGCATCCCCTAGAGAATTTTTTGTAAATACTGTACAATGTAACAAAAAATCATTTGTAATAAGATGAAGCAGTGAAGTGTATTTTTAATATAAAGTAAAGTGTTTATCAAAAGTCTCTGATAGGCCAGGTTTAATGGCTACTGCACTGGCAGGCATTTGCCACATTTTTATGGTCAGTGGAGTTACAGCTTATAACTATATCGCTATCCTCACCAATGGTTTGCGACCATTTTCCACACTTGCTTGGGTTTGCCACGATTACCTCATCAAGTTGTCAACTTTCAAATCTTACAACCTTTCCCTATGTCATTCTTGGCCTTCCCCTGGCTCTCCTCCCTTCCACATTTAGACTCGTGCATCTCCTAATGCCTAAACCATCTCAGCCTACCTTTTCACAAAACTTTGTCAATATTGTACCTTGTGCCTTCTTAACGCTGTACAGGGTTTTCCATCTTTCAGTGTCACATTGAACCTTCCTCATCATTCTTATTTCAGCTCATTGAAGCCTGTGTCGTCCATTTTAACTGCCCATGTTTCACTGCCATCTTAGGCCAATTTCATACACCTTTCCTCTTGCTGTCAGTAAAGGCAGTTACTCACTAAACTTTTTCCAGTTACTTCTGACTTGCTACTGTGATGGATTCTTCAACACTGCCTTTAGCATTGATTATGTCATGCATGTCACCCAGTAGCATAACTCCTCAACAAAGTCTAGGGATATACCCCCAATGTTGAGTTTTTCCAGTCTTGCTAAATGCCACACTATTGCCTATGCATACAGTACACTTTAAGTTTGTAACAACCTGTAATCTGCCATATACAGTTGCCTCCAGGTGTGCCGTTACCCCCTACTGTGCTTCCCTTGCTCATATTGGCAATGGCCCACTACTTGTGTGGCTAGGGAACTGATTGATAGGGCTGCTTCCTAAAAAATAGTTCCCTAGCCACATGAGTAGTGTGACGTTGCCACATGACCAAAGGAGACACAGTAGGGGGTAACAATATACCTGGAGGCAACTGTACCTCACTGCACCTCTTGTTTACCCACCTTTCACACTCACTGCACATTATTGAGTTACTGCCAAACCTTTCTGACAGACATCACAGGACCATATCCATTTTCCACCACAAGTTCCTTGCCCACACCACTAATCAATAGTTTTGTTTCTGCCACGGTCACTCTTAAGCCTTCTGACTATTCCATCCTTTAAATTTCTCTACTACCTCTTCATTACTACTGTATCTGCTATCAGCATTAAATCATCAGCATACAACAACTGCCAAGGCAGACCAAGCCAAAAATCCTCTAACACCATAATAAACAGGACACTCAAAGCAGACCCCTACTTTCTCCTCGCATTCCTCTTTCCTCACCATTTACTCATGCAGTTTTTGACCCCTAGCTTTCTTGTTGCCCACTACTGTACACTACTTCATGTGGTACCGTCATATGCCTTATCTAAGTCTACAAATACAAAGTACCTGTACAATCCTTCTCTCCTTGTCTTGTAGTTGCCTGGCCATAAATATTACCTCTGTAGTCCCTCTACCTGGCATGAAACCATATTGCATTACATTAATGTCTACAGTCATCCTTATCAATTTCTCAGTCACTCTTTCTACAAATTTCTTAACCTGATCTGACATCTTTAGACCCGTTAGTTCCCACATTCAAGTGCATCACTTTTACCTTTGTAAGAGTTCATGATCGCACTCTTATGCCAGTTACCAGGAACAGTACATACTAATATGATTTTATTAGTCAATTCAGTCATTATCAACATGCTGATATGAGGCGCCCCGTATTGTATGGGTTATTCGCACCAAAATTTGAAACCGAGAAAACCGCGTTTAAAGTTTATCCAACTTCAAACATGTGTAACTTTGTTATGTTTTGAGATACAGCATTAATTTTTTATGCATTTTGAAGCTAAAGGACTGTAATTGCAGATGGTAGGTAGCACATCATGAAGTAATGTACTGGGTTGTTGCAATGTTGACTTTAAGCAACAAAACTCCCTTCCTCGTATTGGTTTTTTTACTTTAATTGATATCAGAGTGTAGATCCCGCCACAACAACTGAGGGAGGGGCTGTGACGTAGATAGTAGATGCTCACTGTCATTGGCCGAGATGGGGGAGGAGGCTTTAGGCCGGCCGCTGTGATTGGCTGCACACTCCTCTCACTCACTGACGGGATGAGAGCACCTGACGATGCGAAAGTCAAACCCATAATTTCCTGTCTGCCACAAATCGATGTTCTACTCTATTTTCAAAGGGCTTTCAACCTTATATACAGTGTATTAAGGAGATCTTATCAACTACCATCGTATTTTTTTTTATTTATTTATTTTTTTTAACGGGAATTAGCCCACCCGGGCACAGGTCAAACGACCCACAACAGAAAGAAATTAAAAATAGAAAAGCAAAACGTTATTTTGTATTAATCTACACCACGAAGATGCCGGAAAACCAGCTTTTTAAAGTGAGACACATTGTATGAGTATGGAAACACAGAAGAAGGCAGAGCATTCCACAGTTTGGCTGTGTGAGGAAAGAAGGCTGCACTATAATGGGTTATTCTAGTGTGACCGACATCCACAGAGAAACCGTGGGCAAGACATGTTACTAGCCCATGGCCTTGCCGGCGGTACACAGGATGCCAAATCCACCAAACATTGCCCGTTAAAGTACCTGTAAAAGAGAGAGAGTGAAGCAACATTGCAGCGAAGAGAAAGGGAAGAAAGATTGTCAACTAAAGGAGGCAAGTAAATAAGACAAAATACCATTGTTTCCACCCTATCTAACAGTTGGACAGAAGAAGAGCCACCCCAGATGTGAGAGTAGTACTCCAGGTTAGGACAAATGAATCCCTTATATATTTGAAGCAACTGCTCAGGGTTTTGCTGGGATGGTCTGAATGTACCTTACGATGCAGGATACCTCATATCATCTACAGCTGTCACCATTTCTGCAACTATTGCAGACCTTCCAGCTGCCTTTCCATTCTTCAATTTATCAGTTGCTTTCTTGACCCATACTCTTTCAATCCTGGGAATGGTCCTTGTACTGGTTCTGCTGCCCCTATCCCATTCATACTCCTCATTCAGTAGTCATTTGTAATATTGTATAGTTTTCTCAAAGCATCCTTGATTTCCTCATTATCAGCAAGCACATTACCTTCGTCATTTCTCCCACACTGCTCACCAAGTGTCCTTGTTTCAGCCCACTATTTACCTGGCTATACCAGAAATACTCTTAAACTTCATAGAAAGACTTTTTATTTGTACTGTATATTGTAGTATCTTGGTTCGTCACATCTACCTGTGTATGTATTGAAATCAGTAAACAGGGTATGCTCTTTTGGCTGTCAGTTAACTAACACATCCAAAGATAAGTACGGTACTACTGTACAAGAACTGTAGTGGTACAGTAAAACCAATATACTGTTCTGGACAATACACACTACCCCATACCGTGCCATGAACAAAATATTTACTCAAATTTCACCTTTTTCACTCTAAAAGTACTTTAGATATTGTCAGGAAAGGCAAGCAAGAAAACAACAAAAACAAATGGAGTAACCACAGAGTGCCCCCTCTCACACACACTTGGCACAGCACATGTAGATATGCAATATCTCAACCTAAGTTACATAAGTTATGTAGGATAACAGGATAAATGTTTTTGATGGAGAGAGAGAGAGAGAGAGAGCAGCTTACCACGTTGCTACATGGTACAGTAAATTTATAGTTCAGTATATGTAAATTTATAGTAAGCTGTTGAAAAACCTTAGCTTAATTTACCTTATGGAAAAAGATGTGTAGAGTTAAGATCAGGGGCCACATATGACCACTGGACCTCCTGGTCATGCTGTACATCTTGCTGTTCAAATGTAAACACCTGCATAAAGAGCACAAACTACTGGAATAATCAACAAATATTTGGCTGGTGCTTAATAATAATAATGGTAAGGTCTTAGAACAGCTTTACCACCAGAAGGGGTTGTTTGATTTCCTAATTTTTTTTATGGATTTTCTTATCATTATAGAACCTAACCTAACCAACCAAAGAATCTTACCTAACTTCCTAGTCGGGGGGCTGGACCCACCTCATATTAAACAAACGGTACTTATTTTGATATCTAGTAACAATGAAAGCAACTTTGTTGAAAGAACATGATGCAATTTACTTTTTTTTTCTGGACGTGAGAGAACGCTAGCAGGTTAGTTGTAAACAAATAGACGACACTCGGTATTTACTGTAAATAAATAAAAATTTTCACGTACAAAGCATGTGATCAGTTTTTCACCATGTTTTACCCTGCAATTTCCGTAATCCTTCAAGTCCTGCCCACTACAGGCGATTTATGATCGCAGAGAAAAGCTAAAAATAAATATTTATAATTAAAAAAAAGTTGGCGGTTCTTTTAAGAACATATGAAAATAAGGAGTCTGCAATAGGCCGGTTGGCCTATGCACAGCAGCTCCTGTTGAGAGTTACAACCACACACTATCGTCCATGAATCTATCTAGCCTCCTTTTAAAACTTTCCAGCGTCCCAGCACTTACTAAAATGTTGCTAAACTTGTTCCACTCATCTACCACCCTATTTGTGAACCAGTTCCATCCTATCTCCCTCCTAAACCTAAACTTATCCAACTTAAATCCATTGCTACGAGTCCTATCCTGCTCGGATATTATAAGAACTTTATCTATATCTCCTTTATTGATTCCTTTCACCCACTTAAATACTTCTATCATATCTTCCCGCACTCTTCGTCTTTCTACGGAATGCAAGTTTAATTTCTTTAATCTATCTTGATAGGGATGGTTTTTAAGTCCCGGAATCATTTTCCTCATTCTTCGCTGCACCGACTCCAGTGAATTGATATCCATTCTATAATAAGAGCACCAGAACTGGACAGCAAAATCGAGGTGCAGCCTGACTAGCGCAAGATATAATTGCAATATGACCTCTGCTCACTTATTACTTCCACTTCTAGAAATAAAACCTAATACAGTACTCTGCTTTATTTCAAACATTAACACACTGTTTTCCTGGCCGAAGGTCTGGGCTTTCACAAGTCGACTTCTCTAGGTTGATGTTGTTAAGGCTGTATACACTCCTCGCCAAATGACTTGAATAACCCCGCTACTTTTTTGTAGAAACTAGACATCATCATAACAAACGAAGAGGGTATGGTGGCCAAACTGGAAAACCTTGCCCCAGTTGGCACCAGTCACCATATACTGTAGTGTTGTCATTCAGATTTAATTGTTACCTAGTTCAAGATAAGGCCAGACCAAGGTACAAATATTACAAGGGAAATTACAACGGGATGAGGGAAGAGATGTAGAATATCCACTGGCCCGACTCAGTAAGGCACAAGAACGCAGACACTACGCTGAATATTATAATTAGTAAAGTGACCCATTTAATCGATAAATATATACCCAAGACCAAACCCAGTGCCTCTAGGAATACGAGGGGATCCCTACACATGAACCATGCGGTGGTCGACAACGTTAAGAAGAAAACCCAGAAATTCAAGACGTGGGTTGGGTCAAACGATGAGCAGGACAGGAGGATGTATGCAAGAGCCAGAAACCAAGCAAAGGCAGAGTGGAGAAGGGCTGAAAAGGAGTTCCAGAGGCTGGTTGCAAGCGAGGTCAAGTCAAACCCAAAGGTGTTTTACTGCTATACTAATTAAAAATTAAAAATGTGAATAGGAGTATCAAACCTGAGGCTTGAAGATGGTAGTTATGCAGATTCTGACCAGGATAAAGCTGAGGCATTGAACAGCTTCTTTTCCTCGGTCTTCACAAGAGAGGATGCGATTAACCTTCCTGCGTTTGAGGACAGACGGTTTGACACAGCGCTGACCCACATTGTGTTCACAGAAGAGGGTATTAGAAATAAACTGTCAAAGCTAAAGGTCCAAAAGAGTCCCAGCCCTGACATGGTGCATCCCAGAGTGCTAAGAGAGTTATGCAACGAGCTTGCCGAGCCCCTGAAGATCCTATTTTGTAAATGCCTGGATGAACAAAAGGTCCCCAGTGATTGGAAAGTGGCTTATGTGAGTCCTATCTTCAAGAAGGGCGATCATCACTCCACAAACAACTATGGACCGGTGAGCCAAACCAGCATAATATGTAAAGTACTTGAGAGTATTATCAGAGTTGCCACGATGGAACATCTTAACACAATTGCTCAAGGTATTGGATGTTTGGACCCATATTTTGGAATGGGGTGGTAATATCGACAATATGTACCTAGATGTTGCTAAGGCTTTCAACTGTGTACCCCTCGAAAGGCTGAAAATCAAACTGGATGGGTACGGAATTCGGGGAAATGTCCTAGCATGGATAGAAGACTTTCTACATGACTGCAAGCAGTGTGTGGTGATTAATGGCACATAATCATCATCTGTACCTGTCACAAGCAGGGTATCACAGGGCAGTGTTCTCAGTGACGTTTCTGCTCTTAGTAGTAACCCCCCTCATTCTCAGAAGCTGCAGCATTTGCTAAGTACACTGTAATTTGCAGGGTGTGGTTAGAAATGTTATTGTTTACATGACGCTCGCCTCCTCCTGTCTGGTAGGCGGAGATGGTGCCACCTCCCGGGTCGGGGGTAGAGCGGGTGGAGGGTGCGCTGCTGCCCCCTGGCCCTGTGTCGGCACACTTGCTTCCACTACCCTCTCCCTGAATATAACCCATGTACACCCATCCCCGTTCCTCCTTGACTCTTCCCTTCTCTGCTTCAAGCCCTGCAGGAGCTTCTTGTGCTGTTCTCTCTGCAGTACCATGCGATCTGGGTGAATGAATACACTCCGAGATGCCTCGCTCCTTGCTAAGTTTTTTGCCTGCCGAATAACCCCCCATTTTCCTCCTCACTCACTAGTGTGATCCTGAGGGGGCAAGGCTTATTCCCCTGCTTTTGTCCCAGCCTTCTCACATCCTGAGGGGTTGATGGCATCTTCAGAACCTCTGTACAAATATTCTTAAACTGCATCTTATTGTGTGTTACCTTACTCTCAGTTACCTCCGCCTGGTTCTAGGGGACTCCAAAAACTATTACATTTTTCCTGCGCTGGAAATGTTCCCGTTGTTTCTCCTCTCCCCTAACAGTAAGTATGTTAGTTTTAATTTATTTGACACTTCTTCAGAGTCCCTAGCTGCTGTAGAACCTGTCCTCATCCTGCATTACTCTCCGCCACCTCCCGTGGCCCTGCTAATGCCTCGGCATAACTCCTCTAAGCAACCACTTCCATTCTATCGGCTAATTCCTCAGTCTTAGCAAGGATCTCTTTCCCAACTTGCTTTAGTTGGGTCCAACAAATTACCCAAATGTACCCAAAAGTACCCAAAAGTATATTAAATCAGGGTAAAATCCTAACGAATATCTGTTATACATACCTACACAAAACATGTCTAATAATATTTTTAGTGTAATTTTGTAAAAATAATTTGTAAGATGAAATAATAAACAGCGAAAAACTTTCAGTATTGGCGAACGCTAAATTCCAAAGAGTTCGTGAACAAGGAAGATAACTCAGATCCATCGTGATGCACTTCGCTAACCTAACCTAACGAAAAGTAAATCCCACGGCTATGTTAAATACCCCAAAGTAACAGAAACATCGGTAATTATATCTCCATTTTGGATAGGTGACTCTTTGGAATTTAGCATTTTTCGCTGTTTATTATTTCATTATTTTGACTACATTTCAATGAAAACATTATTAATCAGGTTTTATTGATGTAAAACATATATTCGTTAAGATTTTACCCTGATTTAATATACTTTTGGGTACTTTTGGGTCATTCGTTGGACCGGCTTTAGTTTGGTAACCAACAAGGCTCCAGCTTCATTTATTTTCGTCCCTAGGGAACTCGTTCCCTTATGGCTTGCAATCGCCTCTTTCACCTTGACTATGCAGTCAGGGCAATACCAGCAATAGCCTTCATGCTTTACGGCAGTTTGCATCTTCCTAAACGTTGCATTGGTCAGGTCTGTATCATCCATATCCGTCATCACCCTGCAGTAGTCACATACATACCATCATATCCCTCATGGTTGTTGTGGGTGCAGACTGTGTATAGATCTACACCTATTTAAAAATAAAGAGAAAAAACAACAGTATTTAGCTGCCCTCTGCTGGTTTTAACATCCCCGGTTTTGTCTTCTCTTTTTTTCAGTTCACTTCAGCGATTTGTCGGTATATTATTGCTGGCTGACTTGTCCTCGAGTCTCCCTTTGCTGCCAGACTTACAATCAGTGGCGGACTGGGTAAAAATTTCTACCGGGAAAACTTGTAAAAGGGCCCACTCAAAAGGGTCCAAAAGGTAGTCAAAGGAACCATCACTTTGGGGCCCACCGGGAAATTTCTTTGTATCCCAGTCCGCCACTGCTTACAATGCCTACCCCAGCCCCAGCTGGCCGGTCCAACTAATTACCCAAATGTACCCAAATGTAGCCGCAGTGAAGTCAAATAATGGTCCTACATGAATAAATTGGACTGCTAATCACTTCTCGACTAGTATTTGGTGTCACAAAGTCACAAAAAATTGGAAAACTTACTTTAATCTGAGTTAATAGATCGCGTGCATGTACCGAGGGAGCGAGTAATTACCCAAATGTAGCCGCAATGAAGTCAAATGATGGTCGTACAAGCGTAAATCAGGCTGTGAATCACTTCTCGATTATTATTTGGTGTCATAAAAGTCACAAAAAATTGGTAAACTTAATTTAATCTGAGTTGGGTTAGGTTAGGTTAGGTACATGCACTTGATCTATTAACTCAGATTAAATCAAGTTTACCAATTTTTTGTGACTTCGTGACACCAAATACCAGTGGAGAAGTGATTGGCAGTCCGATTTATTCATGTAGGACCATTATTTGACTTCATTGCGGGTACATTTGGGTAGTTAGTCAGACCCCAGCTGGCTGGCGTGGAGGGGGTGTGAGACACTTCAGCAAAGATCACTTCCCGTCAGCCACCTCGAGCATAATGCAATGGCGAGGAGTGTACATTGACAGTATTTTTTCTTCCAATATTAAGTACGCTGCACTTGCTGGTGTTGAATTTCATTTGCTATTTTTATTATAGTGTTAAGAACATTTTGAAAAATTATCAAAATGCGTAAGAGACGTGACCGACCGCCCAAGCAGCTAACCAGCCGATCAGTAAAAGTAAAGAAGTCCTTCTGGTGGTAGCGCTGTTCTCAGAAATTACTATAATAATAACTTGTCTTTTGTTTGTCAAAACTGATACTGTATATTAATCGATAAATATAAAGGAAATTATGTTTGGCACTTCATAGGTATGTTCTATGACTAAGTTTAAAAATATTTGTAGACAGTTCTGCAATTATTTTAATGAGTTTTTAATAAGAATTTGTGCTTATTATATTTGCTTAATCCTAGACATAAAATATTGCGGTAACCGATCGTGCTTCACAAACAAAACAGTAACCTTGCGGATTCAGTTAATTTCTTCTTTGAGAAGAGTAACCAATTCAACAAAATCAATGCCCAAACAAATATTAGAAAGAGAATTCAGATTTATTGAGTGATTGGATTGGCTGCAGTTTTAATAATCTACTACGCTGTGCTTTCCTGTCTTATTTTACACTAGTATACAACTAATATATTCATTATAGCGGTTCCTGGTTCTTGTGTAGCATTTTGAGTGTCACATCCGCAGTTTTAAAACTGTAGAAAATTTAACAATTCAAGGACACACCTTAAAAGTTGTTAAAACTGTCCAGTAGAATGAGCTGCATCCCGCCTTGACGGGGAGGTGCAGGTGACTAGCAAGGTGGTGGGCTCGCAGCCACTCGCTGGACTGGTCAAGGTAGGTAGATACCTACCTTGGGACTGGTGGCAGCTCCAGGCAGGTGGTGAGCTGGGCTGGAGGCCCGTGGGATACCTGGCAACTCGATGCAGAGATGAGAAGCGTACGTCACGGCTCTACGACTATTGAAAATTAATGTGTACACATTGTTTAACTGTGTACGTGTTCCCCGTGTGTCTAGCAGATGAACATGTGCACACTTTGTTTGCAGCTTTGGCATGTACACATTTCGTTGTCCGTGTACATAAGGCAATCTCTGTGCGTCTCGTAGGTTTACATGTTTGTACTTTATTACCCGTATATTCTAACCATGCTGTACTTATACAGTATACGTTCACTATGGCGTATTTTGACATATGCATACTGTAGCTCATTTGTTTTAAATACAGTGGTATAGATGAAGTTATTGGTGGTTCTACTGGAAGTTTTGTAATGACTCAACAATTACTCCTTTCAAAAGGCCCCCAGAAACATGGATAAAATGACAGACAAGACAACTCTTTGGAAGTGATATTAGGTGATGTCATGTGTATTGCAACCACTGAGAGCGACAGTAGTCGCCGAAACTCTTTATAATAAACATTTTATCTAGCATTGTGGGTTTCTTCTCATACATTTTTGTTCGTGAAATGATGCATTTGTTGGATACCACACTTTATTCATCAGCCAGCATTAAAAAAAACGCCAACTTTAGTTTTTAAAAAAAATCGTTAACCCACCTCGGCCAAAATTTTACCGTCAATTACACAGCCCAATTTGACGTGAAAACCGCCAACCTGGCAACTCTAGGACACTGACGAACAAGGCAGAGACAGGAACACCCACGCACACGTTCTCATTGCATGGCCAAAGACATATTACACCATTAACATATCTAAACTAAACTGTTGAGGGTGGTAAAAATATTACTTACTAGTTTCTTCTAAAAAAGTATATATATATATATATATATATATATATATATATATATATATATATTTCATGTAGATCCACAATGAAAACGTGGATAAGATAAATCTTGATAAAATCACACGGGAAAAGGGAAACTGAATTTCTCCAAATTGCAAAATGCTCCTGCTATATTAACACTGTCAACCCCCTTGTTACAGCAAGCAAAACTTAAACCATAACCAAGGACACACAAGGTATCATTGTCTAGTTGTTTAGAAGAGAGATTTACTACAAAATTGTGATTGGCATCCTTAGTACAATCAATATTTTTAATAAGCAGTGCTAATCTGCGGTTTAACTTTGCTTGGAGATCAGAGCGCGCCTGTCTTGGTAAGGAGGAGCATAAAGTGATTCTGTGCACGATATGCGGTGGTTTCGTATATCGTGTTTACTGCTCCTGTACATTGTACAGACAGGATCATGTTACAACAATATTGACGGATTTTAAGTTTACCTAAGACACTTTCTTAGGATATTATATTTAATTCTTTTTCACATGACCAGCTTTATCCAATCAGAGGACAGTACTTGTTCTCTTGAGATAATTAGAGAATTATGCGTTCGCAAGAATTTCGTCTAGAAGTTGTAGCGTACTGTATGTGGCCAGTTGTCAATTCTCTTTAGTTGTCTCTTATCTCTTTGTATGGGCACACAAACGTACGTACATGTAGATATCTTCACTCAGGAATGAGGTAGGATAGAAACTCACGATGCGCTTTCTGTATATATATTGTTGTACAGCGCAGTGCTTAGGAGTAACTAGGTGAGGAGCTGTGAGAGATGTTGCTGGTCCAGTAGCCGAGTGTAGAATGCCCTCCCTGGATGTTGTTGTTGTTGAGATTGTCGGACCGTAGTCCGACACGGGCCTTTGCCTATAGGCGGCCCGTTTGGTGGTTCCGGCTGGAGCTCCAGGAGCAGCCAGACCGGATTGGGATTGGAGGTGGTCCCACCTGCAGATTGGAAGGATACTGCAGGTTGCAAGTGTGAGCGGACCCCCGATCAGTGGACGCTTACCACCAACCCCCACTCTTGGACGTGGTCAGTTTCGGAGTGGCGCGCCCCCCGAACTGGGGTCCGCACTTGCTGGGAGAGGATACTTTCTAAGCTATCTGGGTGGTGGGTATCGTGTGATGACCCGGAATAGGTGGTGAATGTGGTTTGTTTGGGCCTTTCGGGTTAGAGTGGCCGCTGGTGTTGTGTGTGTTTCTTGGGAGATTTGAGTTCTGTTTCGGAGGCTTTGTGTGACCTCGCAGTCGAGGAGATAGTGTTCAAGTGGGTTGGCTGCTGGCTCCTGACAGTAGGTGCATTCCATGACGTCATTTCCGATCATCTGCCAGGAGCACTTGTACCCTAGTCGTAGTCGATGAAGGCTGACTTGGGTTTGTCTTGGAGTTTTCTTGTCAGCGAAAGGTGGTTCCCCTTTTGTAGCCGCCAGGTACCATTTGGCTGATTGGGAACCAGCGTTGAATGCGTGAAGGAAGCTCTTTTTGATGTGGAGCTTGCTAGTCTTTCTGAGGTGATTCTTGATCTGTTGCACGCTTGCTGGAACTTGGATGTGTACGCTACTAGAACGTGTAGCTGCCTTGGCTGCTTCGTCTGCCACGTCGTTTCCTCCGATCCCTACATGACTGGGAATCCAGTGTAAGACGACTGGGCGGTTTTGGCTTTGGAATTCCTGTAGCTGTGCGAGGATCGAGGTAATGATGTGGACGTTGTCTCTTGGTTGACTGTGTTGCAGCGCCTGCATGGCCGATTTCGAGTCCGTGTGAATTATGATGGACTTGTTGTGTTGTGTTGCAGCGTGTTGTAGGGCCTTTGAGATTGCTACCAGCTCTGTTTGTAGGGTGGAGCAGTCATTGGAAAGTCTCCATCGGAGGGTCTGACCTTGGGTGTAGAAGGCCGCTCCGGATCTATGATGTTTTGGGTCCACCGAGCCGTCTGTGAAGTATGATGCTGCATCAGCCGGTGTCTCGGTGGCTATGGCTTCGAGAGTTATTTTTTTGAGGTCCTCCTTCTGGAGGTTGGCTTTACTATCGCCTAGGTCGGTAATTTTGAATGTGGCTGGTGGAGGGCTCCATGGTGGAGGAACAGCGTAACCATTGTCTCGTGTGTCTTGGTTGTTCTTGACGAGTGTTTCTGCTTGCAGGTGTCGGATGACCTCGCTTGCCTCGTGCGACCAAGTGGTCCCTCGCACTCTGTGGTCGAGGTGGAGGGAGGCACTGATTCGAATTTTGGCAACTGTGGGCTTATCTGCTCTACAGATTTTGGCGAGGAGACCGGCTGTCACCTGCTTGACTCGTACTGCCAGGGGTGGTAGTTCGGTTTCCATTTGCAAATTGCAAATTCTGGTCCACATGGGTGCTCCGAGCATGGTCCTGAGAGCATTATTTTGGATTACTTCTAGCTTGGCTAATTGGACAGGCAAGGCCGTATTTATACAATTTATGAGGATCAGGATTTGGGATGCGTGTGGAGCGAGAGCCAATCACAGAGGAGAATGCCAGAAGTACCCGGCACTCTGATCCTGGCGTTGCTACGTGTGCGTCCGCACTGTGGAGTAGGTCTACCAGCGTCGCTGGCTGTACGCTGATTGGCTGGTAGGCGTGCGGGAGCTCAGTCATCAGTTGGAAGTTGTAGGGGAGAGGAGCCACTACAAGGTATTCACTCGGGTTATGGCTTCCTCGTGACAAAAAAAACAAAACAGGTAGTATAAGGAGTTTCTGTAGATTAGGTCTTTTTTGTGTTTTATAATGAACCCCACATTCCCCCTCATCGTCAAAGCCCTGCCCACACTGCAAATCACTGTCGTACAAGTATATCCATAAATAAAATCAACAACGAAAATAAAGATCATATTGTTTTAAACCACCTTGAAAAATAGAACCTATGTTGGATATTAATTTCCCATTATAATCACACAAGAATCCATTACCTTTATTTGTATATATGAGTGGGAAGAATAATGAAGATACAGTTCGCTTGCTATAGTCTGTTCACTCGAAGCTTTGAACCTTGGTTCAGTTTGTAGCAAGGCAGCTGTTTGGCTGGCATGCGGACATGAGAAAGTCAGTACAGTTTTTAGGTATTTAATCTGTCGTATTTACATTATGGTATTTTAGAGGATAATAACTATTCTGTGTTGATCTCTACTAATTTCCGCACTTAGAAAGCAAAATTTAGCATGTGAAACGCTCTGGTAACATTAACAGATTTACGGATTACAGATTGCCCACGAGGGGGCTAGTTTATTGGGCACCCCCTTTAATCCTGTGCAAGGTGAAGCGCAGAAGCGTTTACAGTGCCCAACTGGGAAGCATGCGGAGTTCATGCTTGCCTTTATGACTCATGCATTAAGGGCGTAAAAGGCCTGATGGGTCATGGGTTTTGTCAGCAAGTTGCATAAAGTGACAGAATGATGAGTGTGTGGGGGGGAAAAGTCCCGGGACAATTTATCTGTTTATGGCAAAGTGTGGCAGGTCCCTAATAATGTCAAGTGCCAGGCTTGTCACTAGGAGGAGGGATATCTGGTCAGGGAGGGAAGAGGTGCCACCCCTGTAGGGGGAGGTCATAGGGCAAATGAGGATGTGGTGAAAGAGGGTGTGAGAGTCGGTTGACCACAAAGTTTACAAACAGTGCGGCCAGGCTCAGGGTTGCCAATGTACTAGGCGTGGCGAAGTACAGTGGGGGTGGAGGTGATATGGTGTGGTGGGACAGGTACAGTAGGGGTGGAGGGAGGCACATAGACATTGACAACATTGAGGGATACACCTTTTAGTGTAATTATGATGGTGTGTGCGTCGACATGCCGGTGGGGTACAGGTAGCCGGGGGTGGTGTCCTCAGGTCCAGATAGCCCTGGTGGAGACAGCTCAGACACAGGAGCGGGCGCGGCTTGCGGTGGGCGCATCACCCTTCCCCCACACAAGTCATCCACCACGCTTCCCCTACACTTAATAGTCATCCATCACCCTTCCCCTACACAACAGTCACCCTTTACCCTTCCCCTACATAAGTCATTCATCACCCTTCCCCCACACAACATAGTCATCCATCACCCTTCCCCTACACAACAGTCACCCTTTACCCTTCCCCTACATAAGTCATTCATCACCCTTCCCCCACACAACATAGTCATCCATCACCCTTTCCCCTTCCCCTACACAAGTCATCCATCACCCTTCCCCTACACAACATAGTCATCCATCACCCACCCCTACACAACATAGTCACCCATCACC